TGTAGTGAAATGTAGCTAAATACTGCTGACTCGGCTTTAACTAACAAATAATTGATAAGTCCATTCCATTTTGATCAAACAACCGCATATTATTAATAACACCATAACAAAATGATAAAAAAAACCCCACTTTATTAGTAGAAAAATTAAAATCATGGACAAAAAGTTAAAAAAAAAAGTTAATAATTCTAGAGACACTCCATTCTTGAAATATTAAAAAAAACACACACTATGATTAGAATAGAATACTTTCAAGGCAAGACAAAACCACCATCCTTTAATCCAAAATATGACTATTAAATGAATTCATTCTGAATATAAGCGATTCTGAGTCCCCTACTGCAGTGTTGTTTATTCCCTTAAAAAAAAATAAGAGAAAAAATATTATTGAGCGTATAGCACAGATGAGTCCAAGGGCCTTAATTCCATTAAAAACTATTGGAGCGGAACGAAATACAAACCTTCTCTGTAATTCATCAAGGTTGACGTAAACAAACAAAACCGATCAAAATGTTAAATTTTTCTGTAACTCGTAAAGGTAGACTAATCAGCTCAGTATCTGAAAGAACTGCGAACGATTATTGTTCTGCCGCCTACCTCCAAGTCAAATTTCAAAAGTTAACATATTTAAATGATTTTTCATATTTACATAGAAATTTATGTAAATTTTCATAAAACATAACTTATTAGGGAAAGCAAAGAGAGATAACTCTATAGTTTTGGTAAAAATTGCGTTTTTCACTTTAGAAATCAACGAAAAACGGAAAATATTTTAAAAACAACTTTCCCCGCCCCCTGTGAAACAAAAATTCCTTTGTTTGGGTTGTATGAATCGTTATTTCAAAAATTCATACCAAATCTTTTGTTGTTTTACGGGGGGTGGGGTGGGGGGAGGGTATGTTTAAAGACAAAAAAAAAATGGGAAAACGGTCCTTTTATATCCAATTTCAAATGAGATTAAAGTAAAATAAGGTCTTTTATCAATCTTTTATATTGAATTTTACAAATTAAGTTAAACATACGGAAAGTTTTATGGATCATTTCCATACGTTTTTTGAAAGTTTTTTTAAACCCTTATTTCAATAGATAAAGTTTTCAACCCCCTTTTGAAAAGAGTCGTAAATAAAAGCAATTAAGTTTTTGGCACTTGTTTTAAAATTATTAATGAACTCTTCTTTGCATTCAGTTAAGTTTTAATGACCAAACTGCCATTCATATTGAATTAAATGGGTGTAAAATTAAGGCGGGAATCGAGAGTTTGCGTGCATGGTTCTTTCTAAGGCTGTAATTCCGTCAAAAATCATCTAAACGGATTGAATTGCGAACTCAACAAAATGCCCATGGGCGACATCGCTCACCTGAGCACTTTGGTTAGAAAAAAGCAGAAATAGTTCAATACTGAAAAGTTTAAATATAAAGATGGTTCCACCCTACCCCCGGGGGTGATGACTTGAGCAAAGTTGCTTCCTTACTAAAATGACTAAACATGGCTTTGTTGTTCTTGAGAAGTTTTTAAAGGATTTTTTTTTATATATTCCCACGTTCAACTTTGATTACCTAATGTGGCCCATCCTATCCCTGGGGGGTATGATTTGAACAAATTTGAAGCCACACTACCTGAGGATAATTCTTTATTAATATGACTAATCATGGTGTTTCTGGTCATAAAAAAATAATTTACAGTGTACATATTTTTTCTTATATGTTCCTGTATAACTTTGATCGGTGTGTTCCCATTTCGCCTTACTGTGAAATAGAGGTAAGAAAATGATAAAAAGTTCTAAGGCGAAGTGGGAATTTGATAATTCCTCTGTAAAAACAATAATGAAAATTGATTATAATTATGTTTGTTTTACTGATAAGTTAATGACACAGTTTAAAAAGCAATATTTGGGATGTAAAATGAAAAATTAAATAATATTAGTAATATGTAAATATTATAACTGGCCTCTGGAGTAATTTAACATTGAAAGATAAAAAATTAATGAAATCAAAAATGTGAATTATTTGATTGATGCAGCTCCTGAGAAAACACTAAGTAGCTTTAATATTTATTTTGTAAATTTTAAATTTAATCAGTCATTACCAGTAGTATTTTTTATGCCTTTATATAAACTTAAGTCTTTTAACTTAACTCTTTTTAAATCAATTTTTTTCCTAGTTTTTGTAACATTTTTCGCAAAATTTTTACAATATTACTCTTTTACACCGTGATCAAATAATTAATCTTTGAATTCCTGCTATACAAAGCAAACAATACTTATACAAATAATTATATGTTTACACAGGTTCCCATATCGCCATAATACATCCCAGAAGGTACTAAGGCGAATTGGGAATAGCAAATTTTATACAGCTAAGGCGAAATGGGAACAAACCCTTTGATCACCTGTTGTGGTCCCATCCTATCTGGGGGTCATGATTTGAAAAAAAAACAAAAAAACAACCAAAAACAAATAACTTAAATTTACACTATCTGGGGATGCTTTTGCATTATTATTACTAACCATGGCTTTGCTATTCTTGAGAAGAAACTTTTAAAGATTTTGTCGATTTATTCCTTAAAGTTTGTAAAACTTTGTTCACCCATTGTGGACCCATCCTTTTCCGATAAGGTCAGATACTTCTGAAAGAAATTCCTAGTATATGTTTCTGTGTATAACTTTGATTCCCTGTTGTGGCCATATCCTGACCTTGGATGGGGGTGGGTGGGTCATGATTTGAAACAAACTGGAATCTACACTATGTAATGAAGTTCTCACATAAGATTAAACTTTTCTAGACTAATGGTTTTTGAAAAGATTTTTGAAAGATGCCATTAAATTGTCACAAATACTTAATTATCTTCCCTTAAAAAAGAGCGTGGTCCTTATTTGAACAAAATTGAATCCACTTTACCATGGCTTTGCTCTCCTTGAAAAGATTTTGACTATTTATTCCTTAAATTTGTAAAACTTTGTTCACCCATTGTGCATGGGAAGAACGATGGCATATGTGCATTAAACCAGGAGGGGACTGCTTTAAAAAATAAATACTAAAACCCAATTTGTTTCTTTTATTGAAGTTATTCAGTTAGTTTGCGAACTGTTTGATCATCCCTCGTGTATAAAATTTTCTAAACTCAAAGGCAGTAATTCCGCTAAAAATCATCGAAGCATAACAATATAGAATTTGTTAAGTAACTTACAAACCGGAAACTCGCATAATTTTTGCAAACGCTTAGATAAAAATCTGGAAAACCAAGTGAGAAATAGTGACTGACAGAAAGACAGGTAGAAGGACAGACAGATAGATGGGCAGGTGGAAAGGAAATCTGCAGGTTGCACAACAGTATTAAATTTTGCTATATATTCTTACCAAAATTGCGCAATTTTGAGTAGGTGGTCTTAATTCAAAACAAACTTTTGAGAGGTTTCCTTTTCAGATCTTGTAAAACAATTCTTTATAAAGATTTTAGTACCAAGAAATACATAGCCGTGCATCCAGCAAGGCACGCAAGTTTATTTCGGTCGAAGTCGAGCAGGTCTTGAAAATCAAATTCAGGAACTAATCACTCCCCACTCAAATACAGTATATAGAAAAATCAGCACACCTTTAATTATAATAAATCTGGTCAATAGAGGAAGTTTACATGTACATATAGCTTTTCAACTCATAAAAAACAAGATGTGTTTGTGAAACACTGATGCCCCCATATGGCAGCTTATGGCGAAGGTTAAAGTTTCTCATATGCAAGTCAAAATCCAGGCCAAAAGATAAAAAATGTTTAATTTGAAAGCCCTAGCTTCAACTGTTATAAAGTTATGGCGAAGGTTAAAGTTTTTTAAAAGTAAGTAAAACATTAAGGTCAAGGTCAAAGTTGTTGGAATCAAAAGGAAGGTCTTGTCACAAGGATTACATACATGTATGTAAAGTATGCAAGCCCTGGCACCAACCATTCAAAAGTTATGGCCAAGGTTAAAGTTTTTCAAAAGTAGGTCAAACTCCTATGTCAAAGTTAAAGGTCAAAGTGGTTGGTATCCAAAGGAAGGACTTGTCACAAGGATTACATATATGAAGTATGATAGCCCTAGCACCAACCATAAATTATGGCCAAGGTTAAAGTTTTTCAAAAGTAGGTCAAACTCCTATGTCAAAGTTTAAGGTCAAAGTGGTTGGTATCCAAAGGAAGGTCTTGTCACAAGGATTACATATATGAAGTATGAAAGCCCTAGCACTAACCATTCAAAAATTATGGCCAAGCTTAAAGTTTTTCAAAAGTAGGTCAAACTCCAAGGTCAAGGTCAAAAGGTCAAAGTTGTTGGTATTCAAAGGAAGGCCTTGTCACAAAGAATACACATGTGAAGTTTGAAACCCCAAGCACTAACTGTTCAGAAGTAATGGCCAAGGTTAAAGTCTCACAAAATTTTGCAAAAGTGGGTCAAACTCCAAGGTCAAGGTCAAATATGATGGTATCCAAAGAAAGATCTTGTCACAAGGAATACACATGTGAAATATGAAAGTCATAGCTTCAACCAATCAAAAGTTATGGGCAAGGTTAAAGTTGACAACAGACAGACAGATAAACAGACAAACAGATAAACAGACAGACAGGACAAAAACAATATACCCCCGGGATCTTTCGATCCAGGGGCATAAAAATTCAGCTCCAGTCAGGTTCCAAAATGGGAGATTCAGGAATCATTTTGCGTCAGCCATTTTTTGACATGAACCTCAACTGAAATACATGTACTGTTATGACACCTTAAATTCCCTCTGTTTCACCAGTAGGAGATAACATGTAACAATATGAATGCAATTTACAATCCACAAATGAAGGGAAACAAAGAATATCGATCATGTTGATATGGAACGTAAATTTGTGCATGACAAGTTTATCACTATATTTGCATTATTTTCATCGTAGGATAATTAATTGAAATAAAAGAACTACAGTGTTTTTGATATTATTGACCCCCCAAAAAATAATAAAATAAAAGGAAGAAAAAAGAGAAAAAGAAAGAAATAAAACACTCAAGATAATTTTCCCGTAAGGACATTTTGGCTAGTTTCATTTCCACGGGGGTGTGGTGATTGTTGTATAACCATTGATTTTGTTTTCAGTTTCTTTCCACAAGACAACGTAGAGGACAATAAAGACGACTGCAGAGAGGATACCGACTCCAAGCGAGGTAAAGGTCAGCCCTTTAGCCAAGCTGGCACTGGATCGCCCACCTTCGTAGTCACCAACATCAAAACGGACCCTTGCCTGACAAGTAAGAATAACGAATATATCAACTGTTGAAACCTGTGGATATACCAGCCATTTTAAGCTTCAGATGTTTTTGTTAGAAATTCATTTTTCTCTTCTATTTAATAATTTAATTATTGAATTTTCTCTCCATCACAAAGCTATAAAATCAGATAACACTCTCATGTCCTAAGAGTGAATTTATAAATATACATAGTGAATAAAAGTTTAGGTCCTTAACATAATGTAAAATACTGATTCATCCACAAAATAGACTAATGCACAAGTATTTAAGACATCAAACCCTTTTGTGCAATTACACAAACATAAAAAAGACTCAAAAATACACACGTATGTCATTGAAGTACCCGAAGAAACGCTGCTATTGTATATGATTGTATAATTTCATTTTCTACATTAAGAAGATAAACATCGTACATTGACGGCTGCAATGATAGCGCAGATCCCAGTAGGCCAGAAACAGCAGAGACAGGAAAGAATGGCGGGCACCAGCCAGTCGTTTCCTCTTGGTGCAGCAACCACGATGGATGTAGGGGCACTGGTGACCTACAAAGTTAAATAATTATTATCAATCTTTGTAACAAGATTAACGTTTTTCATGTAAATTTTATACGGATGATAAGATTAGATGCTATGTTGGCACTGTGTTGAATTTCAATAACGATCCGCGGCTTAATATAGACTTACTTTCATTATGTGAAAGAAGAAGGTACTGTTTCATTACAAATCTGACCTTGTATTTTTTTGTGAAATATGAAATTGTGAGAAATAAAAACTCATGCTTCCTGAATTGTTCAAACTCCATGCAATAAGATGATACAAATCGTTTTTCTTATAATTTTATGACCTACTAAATGATAATTGAACTTGTGCATTTTCCCATAATTTTTTCTTTTAAATGTTACAGAAGACATAAATTTTCAGTGGAATTTTCTTTCAAACAATATAGACCACATGCATCGCCCATAAAGATTTTAAGAAATGTGATTTTTACACAACATATCCAAAAATTAAAGTGGGCAACGGCTTGGGCACTATTTTTTAAAAGGAAAATAGACCCTTAAATCAGTCATTTTGAGTTTTTTTTCTGTTTTAGATTGAGAAATGTAACAAATTAATGACTTCATATTTCCGGTCCGGTCCTTCTCTATATTAAATTCTTTCATGATATATCACTTTCATATATTCAACTTGCAGCAAATTTCAAAACGTTTTGAAAACCTAAAATTTTTAGGGTAATAAATCAAAAACAGTACCTTCGTCTTTGTATCGGGATTCAACAATTTAAACTACATGTATATGTGCTTTGAGATTAATAAAACGCCAGACTTACAACGACATTTGTAGAGGTGTTACTCGACATAGATCCATAACTTACTGGCTGCTGTTGTCCGTATGCAGGTTGGGTGTACCCTGCATTGTATGCTAAAGAAAGAAATATGACATGTTACATTAGATTTTCATTGATTTTCTATAATATTCTATAATAAATTGGGCTGATGCTTTCTTTTGAGGTAAATGAAAATTACGCAATAGAGCAACGTGATTCTTTTCAATTTTTCAAAATTTCAAATTCAAGAACCTTCTGATATAACTATGGTAAAGTAAAGTTATACTAAACGGTTGTTTGGCTGCTCTGGATTTTGTACATAACCTCCAGCTTTTTTGGCTGTAAAAACAAGGAGAAAATTATATTTGCTCGAATCATACCTTTTTTTTTAAACAAGCATACATGTACACTTACATCTTTCAATGAATGAAATAAACAACTTTACCAAATAAATGATTACATGTTAAGTTCGAAGAATATGTACTATACTTATCAAAACTTATTTACCACTTGCGTTCTCGGATCGCATTCCAAAGATTTTTGCTCATAGTGTATGTGTGGGTGTGTTGTGTGTGTGTGTGGGTGTAGAGAGAGAGAGAGAATGTATTCAACTCGGTGTAATGACAACCCTCTTCCTTTTTTTACATTCAGCCATGTTTTTTTACACCATACGTATCTGTTTTACAGATTGATGCTCAATCGTAAGGAAATCACTGCATACCGAAGTCAATCCAAGGTCTTGTAATGACAAACTTCATAATTAAAAAAATATTGAAAATTCTGAAAGCAGGGGAATTTCATTTATTAGGTCACTATTGCCAAATTTTAAGATCATGAATTTAGACTGATCTTGAATTTTAAAGAAAAGTTCTGAATTTTTTTTGCTATGTTGAAAAGCAATTAAAGGGTAGGGAGCTTCCTGTTTAAACGTCAAAAAGGAGAAATTCTGATGTTGCCTTAAAAACTAGATCAACTGTGCCAAATTGCATAGAGTACTCTGTAACGGATAGACTATATTGATTTTGAGCAGCTTTATTTTCTCCTTTCTTCTGAAGTAGGTTTTTTTAAAAATATTTTTTCTTTATTCTTTGTTGTTTATTTCGGCTTTTTTTTTTTTTTTAATTTTAACAAGTAACAAAGTTAATGAGCAATACTCACTATCCATGTCGTATCTACCTTCTGTCGAAATCTATAATCAATGTAATAGGTTGCACAATTGATCCGATTTCAATGTGTTTTCCCTGAAATTTTGACTGTTTTCTGTCTACGATTATCCGGTAGTAAATACCATGGATCTTAAATTTGCTTTTTGGGAATGTAAATACATGTTCCACGCCCATCAAAAATTGCCGAAACGTGTTCAGACTACACTTTTGCCTAATTTGAACGATTGGTCAATTTTTTCGTCCACTTATCGTGGTTTTTCCTTCCCTATTAGATAAAAACGAAAAGATAGTTGTCTGAATATCATTAAATATCATTTGAATCTAATTATGCAAAAGATGGAGTTCAAAATTACTCTACAGGTATGACTGCTCATAATAAAATACTGATACTATACAAAAAAAGTTTATATTTTACTTGTGAATGCATCTTTTACTGCATTTTTGAATGATATAAAATTCACCTAACAAATTATGACAATGTGTTATTAAGCGGCATTACATGTATCTATAGAAGAGAATAAATACGTGTATTATGAAGCAGAACATGCACGTTGATAAATTATTATAATAAAAAATAATATTTCATATCAACTTTATACTGTTTGTGTATAGGTTTCTCAACTTTAAATTCACTTAAATATATGGAAATCCTTTCGTAGTACATTTGTTTGTTTGTTTGCTTTACGAATTTTTACTTATTGGGACACTTATGGTCATATTGAGCAGTGAATGATCTTTTTGTGCAAGCAATTTGTACAACACGATATGTCCGATTATATGGATTAATCAAGAGGACCGGTCTCCACTTCCCGCAGAGGGATTCGAACCCTCAAAGTAAGAATCATCTCCTTTGTCCGCGACTTTAGAGTGTAACGCTCTAACCAATGCGACTAGGTCCTTTTTAAGGTAGAGTTTCATGCATGTATGAGTATGATACAGAAGTGAAGATTACAAACAATATTTAATCTTGTAAATAAGATAAAAAAATGAAAGTGAAAAAACGGACCCCTGGAAACACTACAGGTGGGAGCAGGTGTCTAGGAGGTGGACGCATCCCCTGTCGACCGGTCACACCCGCCGTGAGCCCTATGTCTTGATAGTTTAGACGGAGTAATCCGTTGTCAACAATGATGATCAACAATGATTGAACAATTGCTTATGAAACATGATACAACTCAACGATAGGTTGCATTTGTGAAGATCATTATAACGATCATAAAATTTGCGAAATGCTGTCTTTAAACGAAGTTCCTGAAATCCATGTGATATCAACTCATTTGTCAGTAGCCTACCTTGGTTTAAAACTTACTCTATATACTCAGAGTATGCTTTTGCGTATTGAATGAATTGGGAGACATAAAAATCATATGCTGGTGAGAGTGGAATATTACCATAAAAATAAGGGAAATTGACGTTTGTCAAATGTTAACAGTTTAGTTGTTAGTTGGCAATTGCCTATAGTCAGTTAAAAATATGACACAGTTGTAGCAGACTCTGTGCTGTCTTTTAATTCGAGTTCACTAGGATATATCGCGTAACTATTGTTAATTGATAAAACGTCGTTGATATATTAAAATATCGAGTTGAAGGTCACAGCAATAGTTTCTTCTTTTCATGTAGAATTTTAACTATCAATTCTGCTTCATAGGAATTTAAAAACAGATCGACTAACAAAACGACGCAGATAGGCGTTGTTCGGAATCCAACAGATTATTGGAAGACCTGGTCTGCATATGTCAATGAGGAACACGAGATGTTTCAAATGTTGCTATTGATTTTTAAAAAAGATTTTTTATTCAAAATTTTCCAAAAGTTATTTGGAGTTTGATTTGATTTGTACCACTTCTTGAATATGTAGTAGCACAGTATGAGGAACTTCACATAGGAATATGAAAAACTTGAAGCAATAGAATTTATCTTCGGAAGCAGTATAAGTTAATCTAGATATCAATAATTTTTTTTATGATTTTACAAATGTAAGTTTATGTCTTCCTTGACGTAGGACATGATTAAATCAAAATGGAGATTTTATATGCATCTAGAACAACACTGTAGCCCAAGCAAAAAACCATCATACAGGTTTACCCATGGCGTGGTTTCATTGCTTCAAAATTGCAAACATGTAACTCTATTAATCGCTGCTATAAATATTACAGCATGGCATATTTTCTCTCTGGTATAACTTATTTAATCATTGATAAATTAATTTTCAGCCAAGTTTAGTTTAATAAACGAATATGTGCATACACGTTTTACAAACTCATGGAGATTTTTTTTTATATTTCATTTTCAAATGCTCTACTCATCTACTTATTCATAATAGAAAATTACATTATTTCTTAATGTCCGATTACACAAGATGTATTTGATATCGGATGTTTGTTCATATACAGTGTAGTAGCTTCAAATGTTAGAAGCATTGTTTTTATTTATAATGTTTAGTCGTATAAAGTTTCCTTTTTCATTCAAATTTCTCAATAATATCTATGAAGTGATTAAAAAATGTATAGATTTTAAAGGGTGATGACAAAAAAGAAGATATGTGAGCATTGTAGAAAGTCTACAATTTCTAAATATTTTATATATGCATAATTTACATAGATCCAAAAATATATTCTAATCCATTTTTTTCCCATCTTGGTTTTCTAGCGAATATTTCTCTCCACGAACTATTGGTACATGTATCATTATGAATCTATAAAGAATATTTCCTTAGTCGCGAAAATTAGTCGTAGCAGATAGATTTCAAACTGACAAAACGCAAATAAAGGTTGGTTTGCTGTATTTAAGAAGAAATGAGTTCCTTTCATCAAAGCACAGATACGGGAAATGAAATTGTACTATATCTTAAAATTTCACAGCTCTTTTATGACAAAAATTCAGAAAAATGTAGTAAAATTGAAATTGACAAAAGTTCAAGCCAGAGGACATGTGATTTTTTTTTTGTTTGATTTCATGTTTCAAAACATTCGAATTCGATAAATATAATAAAAATATGAGTTATTTAAGGAATTTGGTAATCTAAAAAAAACCTACATGTACATGTGAAAAGACTTCACTGGTTCAAAAGAGATCATTTTATGTTCTTATAATATGTTCTTTAAAACATTTTCTTAAAAAATTATCACTAATCTAGACATCATTGTAGACTTACATGTACATGTATGTCATTAAATGAAAAAGTTGATAATTAAAGGTTTCAATCTGTTACCGAAAAACTGGGAATATCTGTACGTGATCCCTCAGAATGTAACATGCTGGATAACCAATTGGGGGGGGGGGGGGGGTTATTTATCAGAGTTTGAAATTACTCTAGTAAAAGATATGGATTGAATATTTTATTTATTGCATCTTTTTTTTTTTTTAAAAAAAGAAAGAACATAATTGAGTGGAATTTAGGAAAAATGTGTACCTTTAAGCATTTTCATAATATTGAAAGACTTAGTGGATTTGATTTTTTTTAAATTATCTGCGATTACTGCAACTGATTCAAAAGTTATCAATAATTCAACATGAACAAAGAAAGGTAACTAAGTTTTAATTTGTATACTTATTATTATTGTGGTCGACAGAGACATGCGCTAGCTACAATTATGAGTGACCTCGAATCTCATTATTTTTTTCCATTGCTGATGCATGTGCGTGCGTGGGTATATTTGTTTTTAGGTGTATTATATCCAGACAGATGAAATATCTAACAAAAAAATACTGACCGAATCTTAACTTAATTGACGTTTTAAAAATGTCATATTTAAGCATGGCCGGCATTTCCAGGAATACTCAAATTAGTCTTGACAAATGACCAAATGTGAGTATTTGAATGATTTTTAACACCCTTAAGATACATGTACCTAGTTTTCCCCTTTGCTTAAAACGCGTTATAAAATTAAAGTATTACAAAATGAAATATGTGAAGATAAAAGATAACGAACAGTGATCGATCTGGGGAAAAAAAATCTACAAAGTATATAGTTATGTAAACAGGGTATAAAACACTACAGGTGTGATCAGGTGCCTAGGTGGAGTAAGCATCCCCTGTCGATCGGTCACACTAGCCATGAACCATATGTATTGAGCAGACAGACGGAATATTCCATAGTCAAATTTAGTATATAAAAGGCCTAACAATTGGTATAAAACACGTCAGCCAAAATTCAAACCCAAAATATGTTGTTTTGCTAACAAGATCGTTATAACGACCATAAAATGCTGACTTGAAACGAGGTTGTTGAAATCCATGTAACATTAACTTATCTGTCAGTAGTCTGCCTTGGTTTAAAAATTGATCAAACTCGAAGAATGCTCTTTAGAATGGAATAAGCTGGGAAACGTTAACTCCATATGCAGGTGATAGCGGATTATTACTACATAAATAAGGAAAGTTGAGGATTGAAGTGAAGTCATCTCGTTTGTCATACAACTTAATTGTTAGTTGGCCCTTATCGACTGTAGTCTGTAAAACATCCAAATATGAAACAGATGTGGCAATCTCTGTAATATCTTTCATTTCGAGTTGACTGGGATATATCGAGTCGACATATGAATGGCAGTAACTATTGATAATTGATTAAACGTCGCCGATATATCTCATTGTGGAGTTGAAGACCACAACAAGAGTTTTCTTTTTCTCATGTAGAGGTTTTTAAAAATAAATTCTGCTTCATTAGAATATAAACATAGGTCGGCTAAAAGGGGGCATAATAAGTGCTCATCACAATTCCAACAGTTTCTTAGAAGACCTGGTCTCCGAAGACTACATAGATGTTGTCATTGAGGAACTCCTGCATCCTTTCAATATCAACTTCAGAGTAATTGTGTGTGGAATCAGAGTAACACAGTAATTTGTTGATAACCAATCACACGATAGGAAAATTTCCGAGATCCGTTTTTATTGAAGAAGCAGTTGTCCATGGTTTCATAAAGCCTCGGTTTTAATTTATCGTGAGGAATGGTCGCATAAATTGTAGAAAAGTCGTACGTTTGATGTTACTTACTTCTGAAAAAATTGGTAATTTTAAATTTTCTTAAAGTTCTTTTGAGTTTTTGAGAATCCATATCTGATTTACACCACTTTTAACCAAGTTTGTGGCTGAAATGTAAAAATACTAGTTTAAACAATTTTTTCATGATATTATTTTAAAGTGCTTTATCATTGTTGTTTTTATTTCTATCGATTTAGTTTTTCTTGATCACAGCATAAATGCTGATTAAAGTTTGATAGTGCTAATTAATCAATGATGAAACATTTTCTTTCAATGAACACATAATTTGTTCTCGGTCGACATCACGAACCAAAAATGTTAAGATAATAATGACAGTAAGTACACTGCATTTGACAACAAAGAAAGTGAACAATTTCAACATTATCATGGGTCTAACTGACAACTTTTTTGTACAATCGTCATGCTTTTCCTTGGGCTAAAATTTCTTTTATAGAAAAGCTTAACATTACGTATAATTATCGTACATTTACAGAGTTCCTACAGTCTACAAGTACTTTGATTGCGTAGACATAAAACCTTTTAGCCCAGCTTACAAGAAGTCTGGTCATTTTCCAAAGATGCTGTAATAGAGTATTGCAAATCCTAATTAAAATTTTCAAAACGAAATTCATTTAAGGCATAAGACAATATTTCTGATTTTTTCTCTTCTAACAGACTTTGTACATGTGTAGGGGTGTTAACCCTTCTCTATACGTTTCCGTAAAATAAATGGTTTTCGTCATTTGAGCTTTTAGTAAGTTATCTCATGATGGCAATATCCTGACTTAATTTTCTTAAATGCTAGCTTCTAGATATAAATGATTTTTGATTGTTACATCGTTCTCTGATTTGTCATCATTTATCATACCCAAATAACAATCTGAGTATAATTATATCAGTATAATTTACGCATTTTAGTAAATCTATTATGTATCTTTCCATAATCCTTATTTTGAAATTAAAATCCGGAAGAAATTTCTGTAATAGTAAACAGCTCTGCATTTGTCTTCGCAAAAAACTTTGTGTTTAAAACTTTTGCAATTGAAAAATTGAATAAGTTAATTAAAAAAGGTCAGTACAACAAATATTATGCATACTTTGAATAAAATCCGGAGAGAGAGATTATTCTTCTGCGTAGAAGTCTTCTGTTCTCAATCATAAGACCTTTTCAGATGTCAAAGAATTTTCCTTATCTAAGATGAAATTTATTCGAAGAAACCATTCACTTTCCATAAAACTTGTTTTATAATCCATATACTAGTATATCTACTCTAAACAAAACTGCAATCAAAGAAGATAAAAATAGTATTGACATAGAGTTTTTTTTAAAAAACATACGAATAATAAATTTAAAAACAAATCAATAATTTGAAGACTGAGATTTCTTTAAAAATTATATGTTAATTTGATATTCCATATATATGTACATGTATTTAATATACATAGTAATCAAAATGAAAATACCAGCTGAATGAAAAGAATTCCTCTTCAAAAAAAAAAGATTACTCCTTGGTATGGATGATTGGTGAGAGAATTCAATAAGAAATTGTAAAATCAAGTTTTAAAACTTATTTTTATTTAAATTATTACCTGAGAAACAATAATTAACTATACTCATCGTCAACAATACTTCACACACTAACAGCTATATTAATACTTATCAGTATATGTATTTGCAGCATCGTGCTTTTTTCGTTATATTTTTTTATTTTCAATGACAAGGAGGCAGAAATATTTACAACTTTTTATCTATAATGTACAATGAAAAAAATACATACATGTGGTGGTAAAAAAAATGTGCACGATAACATTCATTAATTTGCAAGAATCTACAAATATAAAAGTAAAAATCAATAAGAAAACAAAGAGGTTTTGTACCCAAAAAAACACATTACAAAAACTTTATAAGTCATATAAACAAAAAATAACAAATATCTTTAATTTAGTATCGGGAAAATAAAATACAAGTACCATTTCAATAATAGGGGATGACCAGTGAAAAACACGGAATGAACAATAAGGCTAACAAACACACACGCACACAAGAATAAATAAATAAAGGACAAAAATATGTAGTAGTAAAACATACATTTACTGTAAATTTTGAGAAAAAAAAATGAATCAATGAGGGATATTTTTATCAATTGTTCAAGAAAGCATATAAAAGAAAGGATTATATTCGTTGTTGATATTTTAAGATGTATTTATTCTACACCATTCTGTATATACACATATAGATTCATGGATCTTTTACTATATTACAAATTCTCTCGACCAGTAATGAAAACATTCAATGAATTTTTTCTTCTGTCACACTATAACTTGTCAACCACAAAAATCAAGACATTTAAAAACTACTGAGCATGAAAGATACATGTACATCAAATATATGCATGTTCTTTCGATTGTACATTATAGGTATGAAAAAATGATTTCTTTGGCTTTTCTGAAATGTTCAACAAAATTTACGTTTCCAATCACATTTTAGAATAAAGAACACATGAAGCCGGATGAATTTCAGGTTGCCCAAAGAAAATGTCCCCAACAAAAACAACCACGATATGTGAATTCAATCAATCATTAATTTACTTCTCAAACATAATCATGAAATATTTATATATCGAAAACATTTTACTTTCATTGTAAATTTCACCACATATACATGTATGTGTCAAACAAAGCCACTTTGAGTTGGGTTCGTACTTTTCAACATTTAGGTATGTCGTTTACTGTATATTTCATTGCATATCGGTGTTTTTCTTTAAATTTGTCTTGAGAAGATATATTACTTTTTGAAAGTGAATGTAAGAATTACACAAAAAAAATAATGTATATTCCTGATTTTTAAAAAGAAAATAAAATTACAAATACATTACACTTTGTTAAGTTTTTGGAATGAGTACAGTTCAGATTCCAACCATAAATCTACATACATGTATCAAAACCCCTATCCTTAAAGTTGACAGAATTTAATTAGTTTACAGAAATACTAGCGTGAGAAAATTCAACACGAAAAACAAGGAAACGACACATGTTATTTTATTGGCTTTGTCAAAGACATTGGGGTCAAATTTGAAGCAGTTCTGTTTACCATCAATCACCTGGAAATTCTGGGCCTCACAGAAAGACGTACCATTTTGGTATTTAGCACCTATAAAGAGTACCAAATACGTACACATGTAATGAAACTCAAATACCCCTTACAAATACGGATGACAAATATGCCATTTTGTACTTTTTACATTTAACAGACAAAAAAAGGAAACAGTTCATTTTAGATAATTTACGTACTTGTAATATTTTTAGTACTATATATCCATAAATAGACACACAAGGAGGCAAAACTGGCTTTTATCATGTGTGGAGATTACAAATATTTCTGTCTACATTTGGATTTTTTAACTGCATACAATATTCCCTCTCCACAAAACTGATGACATGGATTTCAAATTAACTTCCTTGTATGTTTCGTGTTACTTGTACATATAATTTATATTACAAACATCTATTAGGTTTATTCAAAAATAAATGTCCTTTAGCAATTATGTCAAGAAAATATTTGTAAAATAATAAGTACAGTTAACTGAACGAATTAGCATTACCTATTCTTTTTCCGTCATAAAAAGCTCCTTGGCAATGGTGATAAACTGATTTACAAAAGTCCGTACAGACATGAACTTTTCTTTCTTCATCTCTGAAATAACAAAGGTTGGAAAATTAAAATACATAAATAATGAATTTTTCTCAGGAATTTAAACATATCTTATGCATTTTGTTTTTGTACTGCTAATCATAATTGTTTTTAAACATTAGTTTTTCATTGATATAAGTAAACCTTTTTCTTTGAAAACATTTACTAGATGTGGAATTTTCAAGTTAATAAAGAAGAATGAGGTTTCATACTTGTGATACCAGTGAACTTGGTCTGGTGCACAAAAATAACACATCATGTAGTTCAAGTGATTGGTGCAGTCTCGGGAGGCTCCATATAAAGGTGGCATTCCGGAGAAAACAGAGGTAACCTCTGTACGTTTACAGCAAGCTTTGGGGGCATACCACGTACAATTTATTAGTCCCTCAACTTCTACAGCAAATCTTTTATTTTCTAAAAAAAAAAAATTTACACTGTTAATTATAACGGATTTATTTAATTTTTGCATGACTAGCAATATTGAAATTTGAACAACCATGACCAGTACATGGCTGAATAAGGCTTTCATATATATGTAGCACGTTCCATAGTTGCAGCATGGCCTTCACACTGCTTTTCCTCTCTAGCTCTATATACTGGATAATGCCAATCCCTTTGTAGTGACACATATTCTGCAAGTACATATACTATTTATTGTGGTGACATGCCACTCTTTCTTGTGATGAACCATGCCACTTTTCCTCATGTCATTCCACTCTAAGTGTATGAACCTTCCCATAGATTCTCATCACAAACTGCTACTCTTTCTTGTGCCATCCACTCTCTCTATATGAACCATGCCATTGCCCCCGATGATGAACTATGTCATTCTTACTTTTGTCACTTCACTCTTCATGTATAAACCATGCCATTCTCCCCATGGTCAGCCATGCCATGCTTCCTTTTTGTCATTCCACTCATTTTGTATGAACCATGACATTGCTCCTCATGATGAAACATGCCACTCTTCTCAGCTCATGTACAAATATACAATTCTTCATCATGGCGAAATACATGTATGTTATTCTTTATGTGGATTTAACCATACTACTCTACCTTGTGGAGAATAAAGCCATTCTCATCATGGTGAACTACATATACAATACTCTTTTGTATGATTAACCATGCCACTCTTCCTTCATTCTCAGCACGGTGTAACTACAATATTCTTTCGAATGATGAACCATGCCATTCTTCCTCATGAGTCATGTCAATGTGAAAGGTTAAGATAACAAACAGTGATCAATCTAGTAAAGAAACGAATCACGAACAGGACAAAAACACGAATCCCTGGAAACACCAGTCATGGGTTGAAGTGCCCGGAAGGAGTAAAAATCCCTTGTCGACCCGGTCACCCGCCGTTTGTCCTATGTATTATGACTGTACACGGGGTAATCCGTAGTCAAATTTAACAATGAATGAACATATGGTATGAAACATGTCAGACAAAATACGATCCAAAGATAGAGATGCATTTGTCAAACAAGATCATTACAACGGCCTCAATCTAATTCAAGGTGATTCAAGCTACCCTTCATCATTTATTCTCATGACGTCTTAATCAATTCTTCATTTTTAACCATGTTACTTTCCCTCTCTCCAGATGATAAATCATAAATCTCTTCACGCTTCCTAATACAATTTCTCATCATAAACCATGTCCTCCTCTTTATGAATTGCATGTACATGTACGTCTATTTTTCATCGCAAAAAAATTTCTCTCTTCATCAAAAGGAGCCCATTGCTCTATTTCGTATCAGATAAACCATTCTTGCCACTATTCCTCATGATTCAGCCCACCACAGATACTTCTTACACTTTTCTTTATGATGAACAATGACATATTTCTTTATATAATAAAACAAGGGTCATTTCACTCTTCCATTATTTTTGTCCCCCGCTTTCTCTAAAATCGGGGAATATTAATTTGGGTCTGTCCGTCCGTCTTTCTGTCCTTCCGTCCATCTGCCATTCTGTTTGTGGATAACAATTTAGTTTCCTGACGATATCTCGAAATTTTGTATCATCACTCCCTATGACTTTAAGAAAAGGCCCCTATTGATTTTGAAGTTAAAAGGTAAAAGGCCACGTTCAAAAATTCATATATTGCATAACGTGTTTTCAGACTATTCAGGTAGTTTTCAGATGATAACTTACATGTATGTTCTCTTTGAGCTTTTGCAATGAAATCGTGAGGTGATGAATCCCTCTAACTGAAGAAAGACCTCTATTGGTGTGAAGGCCAAAAGGTCAAGGCCAAACGTTCTTTTTTTTCATCATCAACATTTTTTATATCTTCCACCCTCTTATTAATACCTTAAGTTGAGGACATAAATTCCTTGAATTAGCTTGTTGCCCGTGTTTTTGCAACATTTAAATGCAATATTTCAACGCTTTATAAATGCATGTTGCCTCCTTCAGGACAAATAAGGTCCTTTAAGCTCTCCTATAGATCCTTGTTCTTTCCGAAATACTATTTGGTATTTCAAATGTCTTCCACTTCTCCTGGGTTAAGTTTATTATACAGCCTTTCACTCCTGAAGCCTTACAATGTACATGTAGACATTAAGGCAAGAAAATTCGTTTCTGCATCTATTTTGACGATATGGCAAAGTATACATCCATCCACAATACTTTAATTCATGTTTAATTTGGACAACACACATTTACATGAAAGTCATTGATGATTTTTAAGTATACAGCTCAACAAAACTTTTGAAACTTAATATGCTTTCGTGAACTAATTAAATGCACATTTTGGAAATACATGTAAATAAATTGCTACTAAACAAAAATGCAAACAAAAGATATGATGAATTTTGCAATTTTATGATAGTTTTCATATTCATTGATGGTGTTTTATTTTCTGGTATTTGATAACTTCGCCTTTGCACGTATTACAGCCTTGATGCCACTAGGTTCGCTATGAATTAAGTTTGTACAGAACGTTCAGGGTTAGGGCATTGAGTACCATTCCCACTGAAATGTCCTCCACATGTTTTTTTTTATTTTTCAGTCATTGGCATGTTTTTTCCAAAGGCAACTCTGTTGCCCTGTAACAGTCCTGATTCAAAACTAAATAAAAACATTTTGGGTTCAATAAAAAATACCGGGCCTTACTCAAAACATACCTACAACTTTTGAATTAAGGACAAACATATAACAACTTGAGTCTTATTTATATAAGTAAAATGAACAAGTTTAACCGCATAGTTTTTAATTTTTTCCTTCAAAGTTTCATAATTGTGGAATTTGAAGTGACAAAATTTTTCATAGATTAATAAGGATGGTTGTAGAAAGGTAGAATTTTGAACATCCTAGAAGGTTTACAATTTCTTGATGTTTTAAAAATTATTATTTGCATCATTTCAACAAAAATAGGCCCAAAAATATATACCAATCCAGTCATCCATTTTTTGTATCATCTGCCCTTAAAAGATATATGAAAGGCACTCGTGGCTCAATTCCAAAGAAAACGTAGTATAACACTTACAGACTGTATTTCAGGACTGCAAACATCTCGAAAATAAGAGAAAGAAATCAATATAGTTGTATGTTGTGTTGAATGAAAAATCGAATGATCCTTACCAAAATATGTGCAAGGTTTCTTGTCATGGTTGCGTTCGATGTGAAATTCAATTACTGAATTTTCGGCGATCACCACGTCTGAAAAGGAAAGGACGAGAAATACGACCAGGCATTTCATTTTGAAGAACTCTTGCTGATGTAGTTATAAAAGCAGTATTTTAATCATACTGGCTGAGAACCCAGCATCTGTACCAAGAAAAATCAATATAGGAAACATGGATAGAGTAAATAAAAATAAAACGACGACGAGTCGGATTTCCGTCTTTATTTCAAGATTTTAAAATATCAAACAATATTAAAAATCATTATTTGTTTCAGATCTCCCTACCTTCCCGTGAAAAGATTCGCGTCAGGATAACTTGTTTTGAACGTCTATGAAAACAAACTTTTTGCGGAATCGTCAAAAAGTGTCATTAATTATAATATTGTAATAAATACGAAGAAATGTACATTGCGGACCCTTGAGACTTCCATTGATTTTATCAGTATTTTTTCCATAATGAATTAACTTTGCTAAAGCTCATGCATGACTTACTTGTAGGATCCTGTTTCTCTCTTATTTGAACCCCACGTCATCCTGTCAATAAAATGGTGAAATCGATATTCGGGTGTCATAGTCATAGGGCTAACTATTTTTAATTATTTATAATTAGGGACGTATTAGTTGATCCCTATTATAGCTAATAAATTTTGAAAAAAGATTACTTAATTTTTAACAAAATGTTTTCAAGTATTACAACCTATAGTGACGTAAAAAACGTCATAGCAGTCAAATATTTCATCAACAAGTACAGTATATATCTCACTCAGCGGTCCAACATCGATTTTTTTTTTTTTACTTGTAAGACTTCTTTATTGGTACAGATATATATATATGAGAAACAATTTTCAAACGTATAATATTACATGCATAAAGCTTCAACATTTATGATGAGCTGTTAATACTCAGATATACTAGGCAGTCAAAGAGATCTACACGTAGGTCTACTTTTAGCTATGTTAAGAAGCTTCAAATTGTTGTTGAAGTGCGGGATACTCTGTTAAAGTATAAACCCTGCGTATACAATTATACATGTATTAACCGATGGTATACATGTACATACATCCTTAAAGTTGACAAAAAAGACACCTGGTTCTATTGGAGAGTCCATAAGTCGATAGTGAAGCTCATGGGATTTTTTTTATATTAACATAAGGCAGCTAGGTTTGTTTTGTTAAGAGATGATTGATGAATAAATACAGAAGAGGAGGAGGGGGTTTTGGAATTTAGAAAATGCATATTTCAGGCACATAAGTATCGCCCCCCCCCCTACTTTTTTTCCAAACAACCTTTTACTTTTGAAAATTTTCATTTGAAAGGCTGTCCCCTTTTTGTTTTTATCATAGTTAAATCATGGTAGTTTGGTGATGTATTAATAAAATTGGATGGGAAAAGTAGTTGAAAGAAAGTTGGAAGCTATCCCCACCCAGCCGGCCGCTCCTTTTTTTGCTTGTCAAAGTTTTCAGGTATGTTGTCAATTTTTTTCTGTCTGCCCCATTTCAAAAACGACACTACGTTTCTGTATTTTGAATATATTGTCCGTAATGTTTTCTCAATCATCATGCAATAACCTTCGAAAACACTTTCTTCTAATAAATGCATGCATATTTATGTTCCCCAAACGAAGTTTGGGAACATATTGTTTTTACTCTGTTTCTTCTTCTTATTATTATTATTAAGGTCTTCCGTCTCCAACGGAAGACCTTATTGTTTTTGTTCGGTTTCTTTTTCCCTATTATTATTATTATTATTATTATTATTCTTACCGATTTTGTGCACGCAAGTTCTCGGTAACGTCTTGGCCGATTTTCATGAAACTTTCAGATCTGATAGGTATTGATCTGAACCTTATTGGAAATTTTTTTCGTTGATGACGTCACTTTCCATCTCGAGATATTTAGGATTTTCTGATTTTTCGAGGGTCGGCTTGTCCTGGAAACTCCTCTGAAACGACTTAAGATATTGAGTCAAGATTCTCAATGAAGGTAGGGGAAGGTTTGTAGATTTGCAGGCAGGTGTCCAAATTTCTCTAGCGCAAAAGGCGCCGAAGCTCGGTAGGGCTCAAAAAATGTCTCAGAAACATCTCACAAAATTTTACACCTTTTCTTTCATATCTTCATACATGTTCAGAATTTGTTAAAACATATAGAATGATACGACCTTTCATTTGATATCACGAAAAAAGGGCTGACCCCTCAAATTAGGGGCTGAGAGGGGCCAAAAGTCTTTCATCGTTAACTCTTTAACAATCAATAATTTGCAATACATTACTGAAGCAAAGATGCTCATCTTAACGATTTACAACAATATATGATAAAATTCTGATCATATGTTACGTAATAAGGGGTCACAAGGGGCCAGAATGCTAAATCTTTGACGCTTTATATCTCGAAAAAGGAGAATATTTTGATAAGCAATACTGAACAAAAGATGGTCAGAATAATGTTCTAAAGAATATGCACCCTTTCAATTTTTGTCAAACGGCCCCATTAAGGACTTGGAGGGGTGGCCCCTAAATATTTCCATTCAGCATATCTCCACAACGAAAAGAAATCTCTGAATAGCTGTTGAACAAAAAGTCTTCAAAATCACAAAATCTTTCATTTGATATCAAGAAAAAGGGGCTGACCCCTCAAATTAGGGGCTGAGAGGGGCCAAAAGTCTTTCATCGTTAACTCCTTAACAATCAATAATTTGTAATACATTACTGAAACAAAGATGTTTATCTTAACGATTTACAACAATATATGATAAGATTCTGACCATATGTTACGTAATAAGGGGTCACAAGGGGCCAGAATGCTAAATCTTTGACGCTTTATATCTCGAAAAGGGAGAATATTTTGATAAGCAATACTGAACAAAAGATGGTCAGAATAATGTTCTAAAGAATATGCACCCTTTCAATTTTTGTCAAACGGCCCCATTAAGGACTTGGAGGGGTGGCCCCTAAATATTTCCATTCAGCATATCTCCACAACGAAAAGAAATCTCTGAATAGCTGTTGAACAAAAAGTCTTCAAAATCACAAAATCTTTCATTTGATATCAAGAAAAAGGGGCTGACCCCTCAAATTAGGGGCTGAGAGGGGCCAAAAGTCTTTCATCGTTAACTCCTTAACAATCAATAATTTGTAATACATTACTGAAACAAAGATGTTTATCTTAACGATTTACAACAATATATGATAAGATTCTGACCATATGTTACGTAATAAGGGGTCACAAGGGGCCAGAATGCTAAATCTTTGACGCTTTATATCTCGAAAAGGGAGAATATTTTGATAAGCAATACTGAACAAAAGATGGTCAGAATAATGTTCTAAAGAATATGCACCCTTTCAATTTTTGTCAAACGGCCCCATAAGAACTTGAAGGGGTGGCCCCTAAATATTTCCATTCAGCATATCTCCACAACGAAAAGAAATATCTGAATATTTCTTGAACAAAACGTGTTCAAAATCACAATACCTTTCAATTGATATCAAGAAAAAGGGGCTGACCCTCCAAATTTGGGGCTCAGAGGGGCCGAAAGCATGTCATCTATAGTTTTTTGATATTGTTATATAAATCAAAAGAATGAAATCTAATTAGGGAAGTCTATATATCATTATCTTTTAACAAAGATCATAGTCAAAATCATATCTCATCTTATCGAAAAATCGGACGGAAGACCTACTCGTTGCTCGCAACGAGATCTCATCTAGTTATTATGTTCCCCAAACGAAGTTTGGGAACATATTGTTTTTACTCGGTTTCTTATTATTATTATTATTATTATTCTTTTTTATTCTTATTTCTTCTCCGGTACTTTTTTGTTCGCGAGTGTTCTCGGAAACTGCACATCCAATTGAGTTAAAACCTTTTTAGGGTTAATAGGCATGTTGTGTAGATGTGCTCGTCGAATGTCATTTTGCGCGCACATGCATGCACGTGCGGGCGCGTGCAATGAGTGAAATGACTGCCATACTTCATATAGCCGTAACTTTTACATTTTTTATCGTACCGATAAAAAATGTTAATGAATATAATTGATAGTATTGCATCTATTTTCTTTTACTAAAATATCGTTAATTCTTTTTTTAAATTGATAAGTAGGCCGACTCCTTTTCGTAAAATGTATAACAAAAATTCCTATGGGCTCAAACACTACAACAACGAATTGACCTCAAACCAACCGGTAAGTGGCGCTGTGAATGTAAATAAACTACAGAGGAAACGGGTGGGCGCTGTCTTCCCATATACAAACGAAAGTAAGTTTGAGCTTCGGTTGATTTTGGAGTGTATTATCCATTATGCTTTTATGATAATTGTAACATTATGTCTGATACACATAAAGAAAAGTGTATGCGACAGGAATATCCGCGAACATTGCGCAAATCGAAGTATTGAAGTAGGCTGCTATAGACTGATAGTCTATTATTAGGCCTACGTGTAGCGGGAATAATACCCAAGCGTCAGTATACGGGCCAAGTTTTTGATATTTCATGAAAAATAATGTATAGATATTAGGAACATATTTTGGTGTCTGATTTTAGGCACTTAGTTCATGATTCGTGATCCCTTAATGATAGTAAATTTATAGTGAACTCTTGACTTTTGTTCATGATACGAGTAATATTGATGTAATAACAGGATATTTCTTATCAAAATGAAAGATCTTTGTCTTTTCATTCTGCTTTGTTTACACTGGGGTTATTATGTATAAACAACTACATTATACAATCCTTGTGAAAGAAAAAAAAAGAAATAGAATAGGGCCTGATGAAATAAAGTTCCTATAGAGTAATAGCTAGACTTCTACAGTCTTTCAGTTTGTATATATAATAATCATATTAATATATATCATACTATACATAAGAGAACAAAACATAAATTATGTTTAATATTTATGTTTAACAAACTGTCAGTAAATTAAATCTTTCTGAAAATTAATACATTAATATTTGTTTGAGTAGTATTTCATCAGTCTCGAGGTCTTGCATCATTTGTAGAATCAGCACTTAATTCCTATTGCTGAATATGACAGTGTATAAATTGATGTATTTATATCCAGCAAGCTAAAGTTTAAAACATTGAAGAAAAGAAATGAGAATGATACAAAGATGTTAAGTATGTTTTAATTTAATTAATGTATTTGTATCTTTATTTCAATAATGTCAATTGTATCCTACATTGTAAAATCAATTTAAAGTAAATAATAAAAGTTTCAAATATTTAACTAAAAAAAAAATAAGATAAAAATTTAACAGATTATAGGTTGGAAATGTTCCAAAAGTAGATTTTGTAATGTCCATGTTCAGGGAAGTGAGTAAGTGCAGGTATTCTTGTCTGGATCCTGTTAATTTTAAATTTTTTTTAAAGATTACACTTTCCTAAATTTGTTATTGTTTTAAACTAAAATCAATTTTAAAATTCATGTTAATAATAACAGTATATAAACCCAAAATATGAACCTTTGTTCATCTATTGTATAAGATATGTTGTGCTGAAATATAATATTATTGTGATTATAACGTATAATAAGTGCACAGTTAACATGGCAAAATGTTTGCACAGGTGAGTTTAAAGTTTACAAAATAAATGAATTTTAAATATTTCAGATTTACATCTTAAATGTTCATTTATCAAAGCATTATGTAATATATGCTGTTATATGTAGATTTTAACTTTTTAAGTATTAAATTTCATTAACTGTCTGCATTGAGATATCATGATAATGTTGTTGTAACAGCTAGAGCGTGAAAGCACAAATCATGTTCAAAATTTGCCCTCAAGAAACAGAGGATGTTAATAAAATAATTATGTAAAGCTACAAGGCTTTGTACATACATTTTAAATCTTTTTTTTGTTTCTACAGACATTTTCGTGTGAATCTTTAATGCCATGGATATTTGTGTAAAATTTCAGCTATGAGATGTGTATATGATACATGTTGTATTTCATCCAGCACATAGAATAGAACTTGCGGTACCTTTAATATTCATTTGTGACTTTTCTAATCCACTGTTTACATACAAGTACAGTAGCTTAAGCATTTATTGAGGACAAACTTATTATATTTACATTTCCAATGTCTTTGTCCGAGATAAAATTACAAATTGTAAATATACTTTATTTCTACATAAATCTACTGGTTCATTGATTGGCGCGGTTAAAAAAAAAATCACGTGCGGGGCGGGACAAAAAGAGACAGAAGCAGGGCTATTAGCACGGGAATTTGCAGAATCAGGAGCATGTAAATATAAGGAATAACTGTCAGATTTTTTGGATTCATGACGATGATCAATCGATTGGCTTGCGTGATAATTTTATGCATAAACGCCTTCGGCGTTTATGCAAATTATCACGCAAGCCACTCGATTGATCACATCATGAATCCAAAAAATTAGACAGTTATTCCTTAAATATAATGAAATTTCATTGATTTACATGATTTATGTCAAAGCATATAGACTGAGATTCAGCAGATATTGATTTATAGTCTTGATGGATTTTTATTTCATGAAATTCATCGAAGTTGCCAGAACTGTTATTAACCTTCAAAAAAGCATCATGATCAAAAATCACAGCCAAATAAAGGCAATTTCACCTAGGATATGTGGTCTTTTTTTCCAAAATGAACTATATTTTCCTAATTATTTTTAAGATTTCAAATTCTTCCCAAAATGGATGAAAAAAGGCTGCTTTTAAAACATGCGTGAAATATACTGATCTGTTTATTTATCATGTTTTAATTACATGTATGTACTGCACACACCAATTGTATTTTGAGGAAGGTGCTGCACTAAATGATCAATGTTTTCATCATTAATTTTAGGACAAAGAACACTAATGGATTCCAAGCAACAACCTCCACCTGACTATTCAGGTAAGTGATTTATACCAGTACTTAAAGGAGTACAGGACAGGAACAATTAGTTTTACTTATTACTATCAGAAAAAGTACATTTGTATGTACCTATAGATAAAAAGTTAATGTTCAAATAACTGAGTTTATTACTGTTGATAAACTGGGGGATAAATTCATGAAATAAAGCAAAATAAGTTAAACGTTAAATCAATAATTTATTTTCTCATACCATTTAAAATGGGAAAAAAATCTGAAAATGGGAAAATATATAAATTGTCACTATATGGACTGCAAATATACTTGTAATGCCTATAACCTTTCATTTAATGTAAGGTTATAGAATATATACATCATGATACATGAAGCAAATTAAAACTAAGAATGAAACTACACTTCAGTTTCAGTATCAGTATGTTGGTCAGAGATATGTCAAAATGAGTAGAGAACCAGTTCAACTTTGATATATTGAAAGAATTTTTACTACAGTAAATGCCTTCACTGATAATGAGGTTCATATTTGATTTGAATTTGTCAGAGATAAGAGATAATCTGAGATTGATTTTTACACAGTATTTTTGTTTTGCAAAAGGCAAGTTGGAGTTGGTGTGATTTATTTGAGTTCTTAGATAAACAAAAAACTTGCATACTCATGAAAGATAATGAAATCTATTTTTAATGCTATAATTATACACTTCTTCCCGCTATGTCTTTATTTTGCAAGACTATTTTAAAATTCAATTGTATGCTCATGAAATGTGAGACACATTAACATGACTAAATAACAAAGATTTGCAACTGTTCAAAATCTCACAATTTCTTGTGTTTGCTTTTGTTTACTTTTTTTCCAAATCTTGCACCATTTAAATCATATAAATCTTTAAAATTTCAGGGATAATGGAGCAGAACCTTTTTATCCACCTAAAAATATTCAGTTTGTTCTATTACTTTAAGTTTCAAATTTTAATTGATAAAATAAAGAAGGAGAAATCTGAGATAACAACAGATATGTGACCTAATGGTCAGCCCTATCTCCCAGACTTTGCAAACTTTCAGTAATTGACCACTTTAATTTGCCTAGTTTATCTCTTTCTCTTATTATCTCTCTCTATCTATTTATGGGCCTGGGAAAGGGCCATGCCGTACACCATATGTGCTTATACTGCTGAAAAATGGTGCAATGCATTAATGGTGTGCTGCGCCATGCAGCGCATCATGCAAATATTCTGTAAAATGCAAGCACATATGATTTTCTCATTTCTAAGTTCATCACAGCTAGCACATCACAGACAATTCCATCTAATTTCAATGAGGATGATGGTATGGAATTATAAAATCAAAACATCAGTTTAACATAATTGACATTCTGCTGGCAAAGAAACAGAAACTTTTCCTCACAAATGGTTCTTAGCTGACAATTCATTTTGGACAGCCGATCATAGCATCACAAGTTTTAACTATCCGAAAGTCTGGCACATCTTGCACATAGAAAATGTTTCCTTACAACGAATACCATATCAAGGAAGTCTACTTATCTTGGCCTTTAATTCCTTCAATCTGTAAATCAGCTTTTAAAAAGAGAAACTTTTTGGTATAATTTTTGGTATAATTTTAATATAATTTTTCGAATCTTTGCCGTTTTAGAATGATTTACTGTATGAAGTTCTTAGATTAGTAGAAAACATCAGCAAGTCAATGTCAGATACGATGATTTATCAATTCCTGTAGCATTTTTTAAAAATTTTCCTAAATTTGTTGTTGAAGAAATATTCATTATCACTTACAACAAAAATGCAAAATGATCATACTGTGATATGTAATTTTTAAGGTAAAAATAAAGAACAGTGATCATTCTCATAAACAGTTCTTTTTTTATACCTAAATATTTAAAAATGGCCCCAATAATGTATTTTCTCTTCAGCCCCTAAAATTTCAAAATGGCCTGATCATTTCATGAAAAGTGTGGCCACTGGCCCCACCTGTTCTTTGGCCTTCCCAGGCACTGCTATCTTTCTATCTTTCTCTCTCTCTCACATATACATAATAAAATTAATATCAATTTTTAACTTTAGGTAGTACATGTAGTACACAACAATGACTAGTACTTTATATAGGACCATCACTTTTTTAGTAAATACATGTAAACATGTACACATGGTGGAGTTGCAAATCTCTGTTAATGATGTCTGTGTTGAAAGTAAATTGTAATTTGAATTATAATTTTAAAAATATATGAAGGTCAGCAACAAGGTGGACCTCCCCCAGGGCAATATGGACCTCCTCCAGGGCAATATGGACCTCCCCCAGGGCAATATGGACCTCCCCCAGGACAATATGGACCTCCCCCAGGGCAATATGGAGTACAGCCTGGTTATGGACCACCACCTGGTAGGGATATAATTTATGTATTATTTTACATGTTATTTTATAAATGGAAATGATAACAGTTATTCTTCGAGTCCACATCAGCATACAACTTCTTTGAAGACCTCTGTGAAAATCAGATATTAATTAAATAGCTTATCAGAAAATTCTGTTCATGATTTAGCCCATGTGTTTTCATTAAGCTTTGCTAGATTAAGTATACTAATTAAATCAGAACTTTCATCCACTTCCATTTAATACTAGTATTATCCCAGGGTTTAGTCCAGGCTTTGGGGAAAACTACCCTTCTTGGAGAAATTAGGAAAATCAGTTGGGGGTCTGGGGGACCAGAGCTCTGCAGTGGGACGAAGGCCCCCAGCCAAATGTAAAACCATTTTTGTGTCAGTCAAAATGCACAGGTGACGAGATCCACCATGCATACTATGGCAAAGATGCCATCACATCTTGTACAGGAAGGGGTTCAACTTACACTTAATATCCTTATTTGAGCTTTTTCAGAGTGCAAGGGGAATTTTTTACTCATCAAAAGGGGAAAATGAGATATTCAGGGGAAATTTTCTCTTAGATTGATTGTTCTTTTACGTCCCATTCGAGAATTTTTCACTCAATGACATAGAGAGACATCACCATATACCGGTGAATGGCTTCAAATTTGGACCTTTACTCGGCACTCAGGGCCATTGAGCAGTTAGGGATCTTTATCGTGCCAATGTCTGCCATGACAATGTCTGCCATGACACGGGGCCTCGGTTTCTAAGGTCTCATCCGAAGGACCTGCAACTTTCACTTCAAAGTGCTGAGTGCATGGCGTAGGAACAGTTGCTACCCATTTTTATTGACTTTAGTCAGTCGTGGCTGAAATTCAAACTCACAACCTCTCGATCATGGAGGGAGTGCTCTACCGACTGAGCTACCGTGAATGGTAATTTTCTCAAGAAAAATACTGAATATCGGTAGTGTATATGACCTAGATAAATCCCTGCTCTCCATAATGATTAATTGCTTAGTCACTTTCCCCCCTCTAAAAATTTGAAATAATTTTATCTGTTGCACCTTGTTGAAGTATTAAATATTATTATTATTATTATACCCCACGCAACTAGTTGTGGGGGGTATGATGTTTTTGACCCGTCCATCAGTCAGTCAGTCAGTCAGTCCGTCAGTCCTGTTTTTTTGTCAGCGCAACTCCTCCTAAACTGCTGCACAGAATTTCGTCAAACTTTGCAGATATTTAGGACACAATGTGTAGATGTGCATACTACCAGGAAATTCTGATTCCTTTATTTTTTCTGGGAATTTCGGCACTTTTCAACTTAGATTTTTGGCCATATCTTGAATATAGAGATGAACAGTTTGTCAGCGCAACTCCTCCTAAACCGCTGCACAGAATTTCGTCAAACTTTGCAGATATTTAGGACACAATGTGTAGATGTGCATATTACCAGGAAATTCCGATTCCTTTATTTTTACTGGGAATTTCGGCACTTTTCAACATAGATTTTTGTCCATATCTTGAATATAGAGATGAACAGTTTGTCAGCGCAACTCCTCCTAAACCGCTGCACAGAATTTCGTCAAACTTTGCAGATATTTAGGACACAATGTGTAGATGTGCATATTACCAGGAAATTCCGATTCCTTTATTTTTACTGGGAATTTCGGCACTTTTCAACATAGATTTTTGTCCATATCTTGAATATAGAGATGAACAGTTTGTCAGCGCAACTCCTCCTAAACCGCTGCACAGAATTTTGTCAAACTTTGCAGATATTTAGGACACAATGTGTAAATTTGCATACTACCAGGAAATTCCGATTCCTTTATTTTTTCTGGGAATTTCGGCACTTTTCAACTTAGATTTTTGTCCATATCTTGAATATAGAGATGAACAGTTTGTCAGCGCAACTCCTCCTAAACCGCTGCACAGAATTTCGTCAAACTTTGCAGATATTTAGGACACAATGTGTAGATGTGCATATTACTAGGAAATTCCGATTCCTTTATTTTTCTGGGAATTTCGGCACTTTTCAACATAGATTTTTGTCCAAATCTTGAATATAGAGATGAACAGTTTGTCAGAGCAACTCCTCCTAAACCGCTGCACAGAATTTTGTCAACTTTTGCAGATATTTAGGTCACAATGTGCAGATGTGCATATTACCAGGAAATTCCGATTCCTTTATTTTTCTGGGAATTTCGGCACTTTTCAACTTAGATTTTTGGCCATATCTTGAATATAAAGATGAACAGTTTGTCAGCGCAACTCTTCCTAAACCGCTGCACAGAATTTCATCAGACTTTGCAGATATTTAGGACACAATGTGTAGATGTGCATATTACCAGGAAATTCCGATTCCATTATTTTTGCCCTAAGAGTTTTTCCTATTATTGAATAAACTTTCCAGCTAGGTAATAAGGAAATCCACACTGGAATCAGCCTTTGTAATGACATTTTTTGTGAAATATTTTATGACCTTAAAAGACCCCTATTGACTTTGAGATCAAAATATGAATGATTTAACACACACACAAAATCTTGAATCTTGGATAGTTCTCAACCCCCCCCCCCCCCCCCCCAAATTGGTGCTTTGCCTTAAATAATTTCATAAGTACAGTATATAAACAAATTCATATGACTACATTATAATTTTGTTTCCATCAGTTAGGCCATTCCAAGTTTTTTCTATGTTTAGCGTCCACCCATCTTTCAAATACCTACCTACCTATTCGCAAAAAACACACAAACCAAAAAGTAAAACACAAGTCTTTATAGTCATAAAAATGATGTCATCCAAAGGATTTGATTCCATTAATCTATTTTTCTATATCTATTCTATAGAAATATCTATTCTTCAGCAAAATCAAGGTTTTAAGTGCTTACAATATTCCAAATATGACATATTGTAGACAAATACTTAGAGTAATTCATAGAATTAAGTGATTTCGACCAGAATAAACAATTTCAGGACTTCTGATTTTGTTTGTTTTTTCTTATATGGGGTGTCAAAAACCAAGGCGCACGCGGACGCTAAACATAGAAAAAACTTGGAATGGCCTTATTTAAATGTGTACGTTGTCATGTGTTGGACATGGACTTACACTCATTAAAAAATCGAAATCACTGAGGAATTTAAATAACAGTTTGTCAGCATAACTCCTGCACTGAATTTCCTGAAACTTTGTAGGTATTTCAGACATAATGTATAGATTTGTATATTACCAAGAAATTTTTATTCCATTATTTATCTAGAAACTTCAGCCCAATTAAATTTGTAACATACAAAGATTTGAATGTCCTTATATGCAAGAAGTTTTGATGTGATGATTTTTTGCAAGTAATGCCCCTTTTTGAATTATACTGTGTATTTAAAATGCACTGTGCTATTCAGTACATGTTGCGTTGTCGAGTTTTGGGGGAGCGTGGGGTATGTGAGCTTGCTCACTTTTTCTTTCATTCACTTAAAAAAAAGAAAGAATTATATTTAATTATACATATGGTGTTATTTATGACACTTTGTATGGAGAGTTTCTACATTAGTATTTATTAATAAGAATTTGTTTCCTATTTAATATACCACTGTAAGGTAGTACTCTTGTCCAGTTTTATAGCTTTTGAATCTGATGTATATTACCAAATTATTGTAGGTCAGCCATATGGGCAGAACGTGCCCCCGCCCCCTCCAGGTAAACACAGAGCTATTAAGACATGTAGATATACATTGTATTCTACGTGTTTTGCATGTGATGATATTAGTTGTGGGTGCATGTTTACCAATTTGTAAAATTTTATATCTAGTTTTCTTTTTTATTTATAGAACGTTCATAGTACATTCACAGTATAATTGTACATTGTATAAACTGCTTATGCATATCGAATGTCATGTAAAATTTACAAATATTGTCATTACAAATTGACCTGTCATGGCAAACTTAGAACCTTAACAATAAATAAGCATGGATCAGTTTATAATATATAAACCAGAGTAAGACATATGTAGAAGTTCATTGTGTTATATGTTACTCAATTGATGCCTTTCAATCTTACACTAAAATCTGTTTTATCTGAATATTGTTTGACATTTCTTAAACCAATGTATGAAGTTGAATTTTTATAACACCCATACAGGTCAATTTGCAGTAACAATACATTTAGCTTCATGTGGGTACAATTGTACCTGTTCAGTTACTTCGCACTACCATATCTTCCGTGGATTCGTCCAATAAAAAATCACACGTGCATATTGAATACTTCTAGAGCTTTACAAAATGCATGATTTCTAATGAACAATTTCAGGAAGGAATCCTTATGTTGTTCCCCCTACACCTCCATGTATAATTGTCGAAAACTGTGAATACCCAAAAATAACCATGATAACTGCATGTCAAACTTCTGGGAGTTTCAGATCAGACTGTTTTTGGAATAGAGGCTGCCATATTCTTCATTTTTAGCATTATTGAAAGTTTGACATGAAATGACCAGCTTAAATTCTTAATAATGTTATTAAAATTTTAATTAGTGTAAATATGATTTTTTATCCTTTTTAAATTTAATTCAGTTTGTATAGATCTGTATACAAACTATAAACAACAGGTTTTTACAATCAATGCACTTCGATCAACACAGTATTTTAAGTATAAACAACAAGAAAAGGTTTTTATGATCAATACACTTTGATCAACACAGTATTTTAAGTCGGGAATACAAAAAATATGTACTTCCTCAGGGTTCGACACTAACTTTTTAAGGCTTTAGTCCAGCCGGACTAGTGCTTCATTACTTTTACTAGTCCGCACGCTATTTTATCAGTCCGTCAAAAAAAAAAAAAGAAACATCAATGTTTTTTAACATTAATTTAACATGACAATTAATATACGTATTATTTTTTGAAATAAACAAAGTATTTACGTGAAATATATTATTCCACAGACTCATGAAATCTCGCAATCAGCAAGTTCGATCGTATTCCCGATCTCGTTTTTTTTTTTATCTTTACATTACATCCAAAACGTCCAACATCTTTCTTAAAAGTGTCATACTAAATCATGATCGCTTAAACCTTATACTTCATATTGATCAGTCGAAAAATTAAGCGCTGAATTGACCCGGTATTGCGTAACTCCCGCCAAAAGCTAGAAATCTAAAAATACACGCGGGATTTCTTAGTAAAAGTTGTCGAGAATCGGACATCGGTAATTTATTCATATTCTTTTTCAGAATTTTTTATTGGTCCGTTCGGACTAATTAGCCACATATTTTATTAGTCCGAATGAAAATGTATTAGTCTGAGACTAACGGACTAACGTTAGTGTCGAACCCTGCTTCCTGCAAAATATAAGGATCTTATTTTCAAGTGTAGTTCAGGAAGTGATGCAGTAAGGAAGTTATGTAAAATGAGTCTGTAAATGAAAAAAAAACAACAACTTGGTGGAGAATTAGAATGTTATTAGTACATGTAGTACAATTCTACATTAAAGTTTCATTTCAATATTTTAAATCATTTTGATTTTTGATGCAACTGGTAATTAATGAGCCAAAAAATAAGCTCAGCTCCTTTTCTAAAGTTTTTTTCCCTTGAATTGGGTATCCATAGTTTTGAATATGTGCATGTACTTCTTTACCATGTTTGCATTAAATAATGAATGAATGAATACAATACTTTATTACTAACTTATATATATGACAACACCCTTATCCAACATGCTCCATTCTTTGTAATACAGTTGAACTTCAGTATCCTGAACACTGATATCTTGAATTGAATACCAAGGAAATATGTCAAAATGATTTGGAAGTCCCAATTGCTTATTCCTTAAGTATTTTACCCTGGAGATCTTGAACCCTCAGATATCTTGAAATTTTTTTTCTCGGTCCCATAGAGTTCGAGATAACGAGGTTTGACTGTATATTAATATTAACTCGGTATAAGGCTAGTTGACCTTCATTGGGATCATTGACTATTATTCCTTAAAAAAATAGAAGTTAATGGGCGATTCCTGTCAAATTTTGCACCATGAAGTATGCTGGATTTTTTGTTCACATTTCAGTTATAATTTAGATTTCTTTTGTAAATCATTATCATTGCAGCAAAATTTACAATGAGTGAACAGAGGGATAGAGCACCATTCTCAAAAAGGGATTGGCCATTATGGGATTTAAGGTTCCATGGGATTAATAGCTAATTGTTTTGAACTATTGTTGTGTACTAACATGTAATATTACTTGTAATTAGTTTAATATGCTTGTTTTATTTTTCTGTGAAGTGTATGCACAATTAACAAGTTTGGAACTTTTGAACTTGGGTAATAGGCTGAAAAGAACTTGCAGTGTTAGTAAATTTAAAGGTCCATCAATATATAACACAGCTTGAAGACACACTTTGTTGTTTGCAAATTCAAATATCTGGAAAAGGTGCAGCACCATGCTGGGGAAAAATATGTGATGTTATAAACTGCAAATTTAAATCCCTATGCAGTAATAATGTATTATCAACAAATCCTTATTCATGCATGAAGCAGCCAGTCTCAATTTTCCCATAAATTTCATGTAAAAATACATAAAAGTGTATTTAGATATACACTTTTGTATATATTAAATCTGTTCATAGACACATGAATATATTTTTATGGTCCCACCTGTTACCTGTTTCCATGCATCCATCATTCTGTCATTCCATCATTCTGTCATAGTTTTCTGGGCTTTTTTGGGGGGTATGCTTGTAGACAATGAGTTCATTTTGGTATATATTAGGCCATGAAAAATTAAATAATAGTTTCTCAGGCCAAAAATTTCAAAATTCAATGTGGCAGGCAGGTTGGTTGGTTTGTTTGGTTTTTTTTTTTTTTATAGCAGTGTTATACCTTTTTTTCATGTCAGTCATTCAACAAAATGATGATATCAACTTATTCTAACTTTTTGTTCTCTTAAATTTATTATAATATGTATTTAACTTTAAATAATGTTATTCTAAACAAAGTTAATTCATAAAATACTGTATTAACAAGAAATGTTCAGTTTATCTAATAAAAACATCTATCGATTAGCATTTATGAAAAGGGGAATAGCTCAATTTTCTTTTTCAACTCGGAAAAATAGGAAATTGAGTTATTTCCCTTTTCAATATGTCAATAAAATTGTTCAATGTGGCAGTGTTTGACCTGATGCGGTGGTGCCTGAGACACAATTGATTAATTTTTTTGGCCTTACTTAATATAATGACTTACAGTTTTTACAAAAGTTATAGCCCTTGGACTTTGAAAATTTCTAATAATTCACTGTTTTCCACACTTTTTTTGCTATGCTTGTAATGACTTCATTTTAGGTACAATATGTCTCTTGATATTGATGACTTGCAGATCAAGTTCTCATTTCTTGATGATTGACCCATTTTTATGAAAGTTATTGCCCTTAGACTTTGAACATTTCTAATAATTCACTGTTTTCCAAACTCTTTGCTATGCTCAATGTAGACAATGAGTTCATTTTGGTATGTTTATTGATATTGATGACTTGCAGGTTTGAGTTTCATGATGATTTACCCATTTTTATGCCCCCATAATTGAAGATTCAGGGTTATATAGTTTGTGGTTTGTCTTTTAATCTGTTTGTCTGCAAAACTTTAACCTTGCCCATAACTTTTGAATGGTTGGTGCTAGGGCTTTCATATTCACATGTGACAAGACCTTTCTTTTGGTACCAACATATTTGACCTCTTGACCTTGGAGTTGACCTATTTTTGCAAAAATTTACCAAATTTTAACCTTTGCCATAACTTTTGAACAGTTGAAGCTAGTGTTTTTATATTTCATATGTGTATTCCATGCATCCAGACCTTTGTTTGGGTACCAACATTTTTTGACCTCGGCCTTGACCTTTGAGTTTGACCTACTTTTGAAAATAATTAATCTTGGCTACTTTTTAACATTGGGTGCTAGGACCTTCATATATCACAAATATATTTCTTGTGACAAGACCTTTCTTTGGATACCAACATTTTTGACCTCAATACATGATGTTGATTTTGGAGTTTGATCTACATTAATTTTGAAAAAAAACTTTAACCTTGCATATAACTTTGACTGTTGCTGTTAGCGTTTTCATATTTCACTTGTGCATTTCTTGTGACAAGACCTTTCCTTTAGTATCATTTTTTTTTCACCTCATGACACTCATGGGTTTCAACATTTTTGAACTCTTGACCTTGACCTTTGAGTTTGTTCTAAATTTGAAAAACTTTAACCTTTGCATTGATTGATTGTTTTACGTCCCATTCGAGAATTTTTCAGTCATATAGAGATGTCACCATATACCGGTGAAGGGCTTCAATTTTTGACCTTTACTCGGCACTCAGGGCCATTGAGCAGTGAGGGATCTTTATCGTGCCAACGCCTGCTGTGACACGGGGCCTCGGTTTTTAAGGTCTCATCCGAAAGACCCGCAACTTTTACTTCAAAGTGCCGAGCTCATTGCGAAGGAACAGTTGCTACCCGTTTTTTATCCACTAAGGTCAGTCGCGGCCGAGATTCAAACTCATGACCTCCCAATCACAAAGCTCTACTCTACTGACTGAGCTACCGTGAACGGCAACCTTTGCATTGAGCTGCCTTATATGGGGGCATCATTTTTTTTGTTTTCATACCACCGCAAACGAAGTTTGGGGGGGTATATAGGAAATCACCTTGTCTGTCTGTCTGTGCAAATGTGACCGGTCCATATCTTTCTTATGGAGGAACATTAGAATCTACTACTTCACTTAAAGATTAGAATCTACTACTTCACACAAAGGGTGTGTCATGACCTTGACTCAAGGTCATTTGGGCAAGTTCAAGGTCCCTGGAAGAAAAAGTTCATAATTCGTGTCCGGTCCATATCTTTCTTATGGATAAATTTGGTGAGTTCCCATTTTACACAAAGATTGTTTATGACCTGAGGGTGTGTCAAGGCCTTGAGCCAAGGTCATATGGGCAGTTCAAGGTCACTGAAAGAAAAAGTTCATAATTTGTGTCTGGCCCATATCCTCATATGGATAAATTTGGTGAGTTCCCATTTTACACAAAGATTGTTCCTGACCACAGAATGTGTCATGACTTTGACCCAAGGTCATTTGTGCAAGTTCAAGGTCACTGAAAGAAAAAGTTCATAATTCGTGTCAAGTCCATATCTTTCTTATGGATAAACTTGGTGAGTTTCCATTTTACACAAAGATTGCTTATGACCTGAGGGTGTGTCATGACCTTAACCCAAGGTCATTTGTGCAAGTTCAAGGTCACTGACAGAAAAAGTTCATAATTCATGTCTGGCTCTATATTTCTTATGGAGAATTGGTAGTTTCCACTTCACACAAAGATTGTGTATGACCTGAGGGTGAGTCATGATCTTGACTATAGTCACTGTAGAAAAAATGGATAAATAATGCATCCATACTTTCCAATAGAGGAATACTTGAAAAATTGTTATTTATTTTTTCAATGTAATAAAAAAAAATGTTATCATAAGAATTGATGTTTTATTGGGCTGCGCCTTAGTTTCATTCATTTAAAAAATATAATGAGCAATTACCGGTAAATTTTAAATATTTAAACATATTGTGAACACCTCTTATATCATCAAACACTAGTTTAGTGACTTGGCACCTTCTCTGAAAAAAACCTGCAAGGGGTATTTGTCCATTTTGGACAGTTTTAGTTTTTTTTTGTTCACAAACACATTTATTTTGAAAGTGATTGCCCTTAGATTTTGAAAATTTGCAATAATTCACTGATTTCAGGAGTTTTTCATCTGTACTTGTTCATAAAGAGTACTTCTTGGACTTTCACATGTTTAAAACTTGCACCTCAGTGGGGGCATTCATGTAACCCTGATGTATCTAGGTTTTCTTTATTCAATGTGAATTATTATTCCATGATGGTAAAAAAAAATAAAAAATACAGAGAAAATTCACCAGCATGTGCTTTATACTGTATATGTATGTTTGAACATCCTTTATAGTGTGTGAAAGTCATACATTATATCTTTCTATTTACCTACACTGATCTATGTATGTATGTATGTATGTATGTATCTATCTATCGAACAATCAATCGAGAGAGTACATGCATGTGACCATGCAGTATTGTAATACATTTCAATCTCATACTTCATACTTTTAAAAGGTTCTAAGTGGTCTGAGGAAGTAGCATATTGATTTCGCTCTGACTTAGACTGGGTTTTAAGCACTGTCTCGAATTTTACATGTACGTGATGACCTTCATTAAATATCTTCTTATCAATCAAACTAAAGACCATGCAACTAGATCTGATTGACAGGGTTGCTGAAGAATAAGCTTACTTAGACCATATTGCTTTTTGTTTTAATTTGTTTCTTGATTCTTGTTCCTTTGATTTGTCCCTAAAATCTAAAAAAAGAAGAAAAAAAAATCCAGGATGCACCCAACCCTATAGGGTTGACTGATTAAAAGTAATTTATAACTTTTTCTACAAAATGTAGAATTCAAGATAACATTTACTTAAGGATGACTGTTTACTTAGATGACAAAAAAATTTCCACTGATAAGAATGAAAAACCACCTATTGTACATTGTAGACCTATGCTTTTAGTGTTATTATTCACTTTCAAATAAGTAGGTCAATGACCAACTTTTCATGCTAGTGGCCCCTATTTTTCGGAAAATACCTCAATTTTTTACATTAAAACAAATATTTTTTTTTAATTAAAAAAGTATAACAATTAGTAGCAAAACTTTGGCTAATGAAATATTATATAAATGGAAAAGTTTTCTTAAATATTAATAAACAATACGAGTTGAAACTAAATAAACTTATTTATTATTCCAGTCCAAAAATCCTCTGAACATGCATTTTCTAATTTTTACCCATTTTTAGCTCACCTGAGCTAAAGTGAGCTTTTCTGATCATATTTTGTCAGGCGTCCGTCTGTCTGTCTAGCTGTCCTCCTGTCTGTAAACTTTTCACATTTTCGACTTCTTCTCAAGAACCACAGGGCCATTTTCAACCAAACTTGCTACAAAGTACCCTTGGGTTAAGGGGATTCTAGTTTGTTCAAATGAAGGGCTATGCCCTCTTCCAAGAGGAGATAATTACAAATTAGTGAAAAATTAATAGCATTTTTAAAAAAATCTTTTTCTCAAGAACCACTGGAAAGATGAAACTCATGTGGAATCATCCTCAGGTAGTTTAGATTCAAGTTTGTTGAAATCATGACCCTGGGGGTAGGGTGGGGCCACAATATGGAATCAAAATTTTACATAGGAATATGTAGGAAAAAAACTTGAAAAATCACTTCTCAAGAACAGCAAAGCCATGATTAGTCTTATTGCTATTGAAGCATTCTCAGGTAGTGTAGATTCAAATTTGTTCAAATCATGACCCCCAGGGGTAGGGTGGGGCCATAATGGGGGATCATAGTTTTACATAGGAATATATAGGAAAAAAACTTGGAAAATCTTCATCTCAAGAACAGCAAAGCCATGGTTAGTCTTATTGCTATGGAAGCATTCTCAGGTAGTGTAGATCCAAATTTGTTCAAATCATGATCCGCAAGGGTAGGGTGGGGCCACAATGGGGGATCAAATTTTTAGCAAGGGAATATATAGGAAAAAAAACCTTTAAAAATCTCCTCCTCAAGAACAGCAAAGTCATTTGTTATATTGATATGGAAGCATCCTCAGGTAGTTTAAAATTCACCCCCCCCCTCCCCATTTAAACTTTTCAATACTGGACTGATTTGTGCTTTTTCCTAGCCAATGAGTGATGTGGCCCATGGGCCTCTTGTTAATCTAATATTACAAAAATTTGAATAAAAAGAACTCTAAACTATTTATAGCCTCAGTTTACTTCTGTTGCCCTCATTCTGCTGGTATTAGAATTATATGAGTCAATTACCAAATTCTTGAGATGCGTTGTCTGGAATGGTTTTTGTTCATATTTTTGAAATTTTTCATTGCATGCCATTCAATTAAATGAATTGAAATAATACTTGAGCTTCAATACACGTAATACATCCTTGCCTAAATTGTGTCACAACACAGACTTTGTGTGGTATTCCTCCTTAATTACACTGTAGAATGAGTGTAGGTGCAAGTAAAATTTAGGATGGCTTTTGATCAGGACATTTTACAGAGTTATATATTTGAGTTATAAAAAATGTTCAGTGTGAAAGAATGCCCAACTTTATCAATTTAGTTAACCTCTTGCAATGAGTGCTGTGTCCTTGCTATTTTGCACGATAATTGCTTTTCGCTGTAAATAAAAACAGTACTTTCTCTGATTATAAAAAAATTTATTACTATGTATTACATGTAATTTGATTTTCATTTGAATAAAGTTGTGTACAGATATGATCATATACATGTATGTAATTTAAGTTTTTAGTGATACATGTGTAATTGTTTCCATTGCTTTGCATGTACTGTATAATGATTTAAAATGAAGTGCAATATGGCAGAAATGTTTAAGGTGAGACGGTTTAAAGAATCTCAGTTTTTATATTGTAAATAGGTCTGCAGAATGTTCAGGTACAGCAGATGTGGGCTGCCCGTCCTGAGCCCATTCCAGGCTGTCCTCCTGGGCTAGAGTACTTGACAATGGTGGATCAGCTTCTTGTTAAACAGCAGATTGAGCTTTTAGAGGGTCTGTACATATAGAATGAACCCAGAAAAAGAAATTAATGCTTTTGTTTTCATATGACACATGCTTTAATGTGTTTAGAATAATGACAACAGTCATTTATGATGATGATTGCAATTAAGTTTTCATATTTCTCAACTTTATTAGAACTTGATATCTTTTACATTTCAAGTTAATTGACATTCTGTGGCCAAGAATGAATGTTATAGCTGTAATGATTTGAAATTTATTAATTTTTTTTACACATTTTGTTTTGTAGTTTTCACAGGATGGGAAACTGCAAACAAGTACAAGATTGTAAACACAGGTGGACAACAAGTCTACTTCGCAGCTGAAGGTAAATGGTCTCTTTTTTGACTTGTCCAAATTAGGGATGTAACGATACAGCAATACATCGATTGTATTGATCGGAAGGGCTCATGATATGCATATCGTAACGCCATGTATTTATCATGATACAGTACAAGATAATTTTCATTGTTTTGTTTGAAACTACAAACAAGCTAATAAATTTTAATGTTTTAAAATGGCTGAATAAAAGGTAGCAAAGAAAAACTACAATGTCAAGACTATAAATCCACCTTTTATTAACTTTGGTCAGGGGTATATTTTCTATAACTGGAGGTTTTCAAAGAATAATATGTTAAGATAACAGTTAATTCAATTGTTGACAGCTGTATCATGATACATGTTGTATCGCATGACAGTATCGTGATATGTATCATATTGTTAGGTAGCTTGCAATACTCAGGCCTATATATATAGTCCAAATCAAGTTTTTAAAAGTCCTTAAATTGGATCATCTAACAAAGGACATTTAAAAGTATTAATTTTTTTAAATGTTTGAAAATAACACTTCAGTTTTTAGATATGGAGGAGATCCTAGTACTTACATGCATGTTTTGATTAAGTAGAATTGAAATTGATCGTCACTTTGAGATTGTGTTTAATGACTCATTTTTTCAGGAACAGCTGCATTATTGATTATTGCATACATATTTTGTTTTTAGCTTATGATGGATCCCAATGGAAACAATAGCTAACATTATTATCTATGATTAAGTCCCATAAGGCAGAAATCAATAGGAATTAATTAATTCAGTAAATTATTTAAAGGCATGTAACTGGAGATAATACATTTTGATGTCAGATCAGATGCATAATCAGTAAATGTCCTGTCAAATTGATTAACACCATGCAGCTCGACAGAGTTTTGCTGTCAGACTACAGCATACAATTCATGTATCTACAATTCTTCATGGATATGTACAGTGTATTTGCTATACAAATTGTGAAAAGACAAAAGTGAAGACTTAATTTTAGTAGATTATGATCTTTACTTGCAAAATGTTATTGTTCTAATGCATTACCAAGCATGACTTATTATGAACAATAAGAAACCCTTAGATATGTTATAATTTCCATGAAAATTTATGAGAAAAGAAAAAGATGTATTTAATGAATTTGATTTAATAGAATCTGATACCTGCACTCGCCAGTGTTGTGGTCCTAATAGAAGTTTCACAATGCACATCACAGACAACATGGGACAGGTGAGATAATCATAATAATTACAAATTCATGGATGTTAAAATCATCTTTGTTCTAAAATAACAAACACATATATCTTAAATTTGCAAAATGTGTGGATAGCATGGATCCATATTTTGATAGAAACATATTCCAGAACAAATGAATAAAAAAACTTGAATATTATTAAGTCTCTGTAGGTCAATGTAGGATTCATTATGGCTACTTTACCATGTACTCTTCTTGTTAAAGATTGTGTTACTAGACAATTTAGCACCAGTGATTTGCAGTTTGTATACTGATATCTTTAACCTGATTGAAGCAGTATAAATCACGGAGCTTTCTGTATGGTCAGTCAGTACCTGTATCCATTGTATATGTTTTACACGAGGTCATATTTACCCTTTGCTTGTACAGGAGGTGATCAGGGTTACACGAGAGTTTAAGTGTTGTGCTGGGTGCCCATGGTGTGCCTGTATTGACGCTCTGGCCCACGAGATTACTATTGAAGCACCACCCGGACAGGTGGTGGGATATGTCAAACAGGAGTAAGTTATTCTTACAGGCATTATGAGGAGAGGTTGAGAGGATGATATTGTAACTGTGAATCAGCAAATACTGTATTTCCTTTATAGAAGTTCCTTGATTTTCCCAGTTTTGAGATGTTAAGCTTGTTCCATTTAGTTTTCCAATAAAAAATGAATAATGTACTTGTAGCATACAAGATGACAGCAGATATTAGTACTGCATTAAAAGATAATGCATTAGTCAAGTTAGTTCTGTAGAGTCATATTACAAGTCCACCTAATGAATCATGATGTTGAAGAAGACCACTGTATTATTTTTAATATTCATTTGTGATTTCTATGATGAGCTGCCCTTTCTGCTGTTTTATGATATAAGAAAAAATAAATGTTAATTATTCAATATAAGACAATACCTGTACTTTCTGTTTTTTTAAAAAAATTCAGACAGAGCTGGTGTCCACCAAGCTACTCGATACAGGATGCTAATCGCCAGGAGATCTTACGCATCAGTGGACCTGTCTGCATGATTACAGGGCCATGTTGTCCAAATGACATCGACTTTGATGTTAGTATCAACTAGAATATGAAGTTATATTCATAAGTATTTGAATATTTTTAAATGATTTTTTCTAGCTAGATTAAAAAAAATTCTGAGTGTTAGATCACCTCTATCCTTGTCAACCAAACTTGAGTGTTTAAAAATTTATTTTGATAATAGTTTGCACTTCTAAAATAGAAATAGAACAAGAGATAAAATAAATAAAAGAGAACTAGAAAGTCATTTTAGATTCAGTTCAAAGTCTCCTAGAAGAAGAAAATGTTGCATTTGATTGAATTTCCCTGTGACATGATAAAAGTTTTGACCCAAATGTATTGCATAAACAAGGAAGAGAATATGGCAAAGTATTGTGAAAATTATTTCAAGGTCTTGGCTAAAGATGGAAGCACACCGGTGGGAAAGATCAGCAAGCAATGGAGTGGATTGATGAGGGAGTATTTCACTGATGCTGACAACTTTGGAGTTTCTTGTAAGTTGAGATCACTACATTTTTATTTTGGTAAAAAGAAACTACAGACCTACATCGTTTATGCCTGTAGGTCCTTTATATCTCTAGTTCTGTCATCTGTCCATCCAATGAGGTGTTTCACCTTACTGTTATGCCTTACATCAGTATTTGAGTCAATAGAAGTCAAGGAGATTGGAAATGGAGACTGATTACATGAGAATATTTTATACTATTCAAAGTTGCATTTTGTGGTTTCAGCAGGTAGCAAGTCTAAATTTGGTATCAGTGTTGATTCTGAATGTACCAGGGTATGTAAAACTAATAGGGTAGAATCTAAACTTTGTATGAATTATGGACGAGACAATTTAACATCTGAAAATTTTCCCATTGTACATGTAGAAGTAGAAAAGCATGATACTTCAAATGAGTCTCTTTGGATTAATTATTGTAACTGGTACAGAGAATGCTGAGGCTTAAGCTTTTTCTGGTTCATCAAGGTTTATTTAACACCATTGTCTGCAATGAAAAAAAATGTCTGTTTTTGGAGTTACCAATTAGTTCATGATGCTTGATGATTGATTTCAAATTTTATTATTGATATTTTATTTTTGGTTACAGTATGCATTTGATTGATTATATTTACAAGGAATTAGAAATATATAGCTGGAAAATATGATTTTTTTTATTTGCTGCCCTATGTATTTATAAAGAAAGAGTTTTTTTTTACACATACTGTCAAACCTCATTATCTCAAACTTGATGGGACCAAGAAAAAACTTTAAGATATCTGAGGATTCAAGATATCAGGATAAAATACTGAAAGAATAAGTGGTTGTAACTTTCAGATCACTTCAACATATTATTGGTATTTGAGATATCAGTGTTCGAGATACCAAAGTTCTACTGTAGTTGTATATTAACGTCAGGACATATTCCATTTTTTATAAAGAAAATATATGAATTTCAAATTAACATATTTGTTTCACATTTTAAGTTTCCTTTACATTTCTTTTTCATCATTAATTAAGTCATTACAATCACATTCCTCTAACCCCTACCTTATATATTAAATATATTCCTTAGCAAGACCCTTGCTAACTAGAGAGCAGTTAAAACTTTGTTTTAATTTGTAAAAATTATATGTAACTGCCAAAACTGAAGAATATATAGACATTAGACAATACTTGTACTTAAATGTCTCATAAAAATTAAAGATCATATGGAATTAAAGTGAAACTTTGATTTTTTTTTTTTTACTGTTGTAGTTCCAATGGATCTAGATGTCAAGATCAAGGCAGTGATGGTTGGAGCAGTGTTCCTCATTGTAAGTTATCTCCCCATTCCTTGCTAAAACAATTGTAATGATAATTATAAAGGTTTAATAAACTAATAAATATGTTATAGATGCATGATTAAAAACTGCTCAGTTTGATTCAAGAGAATTATTTACATCAGACTAAGCAGATTTATACCTCTCTCATGCTTACTAAACATTTCTAAAGTGAGTTTTAATTACCCTGCATGTTTAGCACTGTATTTTGATATAAACTATATTATAGATGATGTACATGTAGTTACATGAATTGTGTTAGCATAAGGAGATGGAGAAGAATTTATTCATTCCCATTATGATTTTTACTGATCTCTGTATTTAAGTATTAGTGATGTACAGTTTTTTTTTAACCAGACTTAATTATATAGGGGTAAAAAAATTGTGGCATTTTCGCCTTTTTTACCTACTTGTCTACAACTGAAAACATTATTCTATAATATATATTTTATAATAAATTATATATATATATATATATATATATATATATATATATATATATATATATATATATATATATATATATATATATCTAATAATTATATATATTATAATATATATAAAGTAGATATGTGGAATAACATATGTCAAAGTCAAAAGGGTTTATTTGTCTCTGCTTGGGTCATCAAGTTTGATCAACTTATCATTTTTTATACATTTTGTTGCAGGACTTCATGTACTTTGAGAACAACCAAAATAACAATAACCATCATCACTAGTGTTTGGGCAGGTTAAACACTATACAAATAGGGACAAAATGTCCAGGATGGAAACACTATAGTGGAAACGAGAACATGAAATCCTAAAACCCAGGCTGGGCAAAACAGTTATAACTTACATAAAAAAATGTGTATAATTTGGAGATATACAAACTAGGAGAAACATATTTAGTAAGAACTTAGTAGCATTTTTATCCTCTCTATACTGTTTAGAAGTAAATGTAGTTACAATTTTTTTTTTAAAAATTGAATTTTAGAAAAAGTTATGCATGTATTTTAGAAATTAGCTGCAGTGTACAATATTGGCTTGTTTAAGTCATTTTATTAAGGAAGTACTGTAAATGTATTATTCATGAGGGTAGAGAATGTTAAAAGATTTATCCATGATGTACCTCAATATTATATGATTAGAGCAGTGTTCTAGTTTTTTTTACATACATGTATAATTGTATATACCGTTGTTTGACATTATTGTATGACTCCTAAATTTCAACTCTGATTGGCTAATATCCCCCTACATGGGAATAATATTATGCTTCCCTCACATTCTGTTGATATCTTCATCTTTTTTCATTTGATTAAATGAAAAAACTGTTTTAATATGATACAATACAATAGTTAGTGGCCTGTATTTTGTCCATCCAATCATTTAGCTACCTTCAGTGACCTCATCCTTCAGATTCATTGATTATTCTCTTTCTCTAGTAACTAATTATAAATGACTATTTCTCAAACAAGTCAGTATAATATTGGAGTATTATATCATAGTTTTAGGCATACAGTATATTAACTGGGAATTAAATATAGGAACTTTTGCTTGTGTTAAAGCTGAGCTAAACTTCCAGTAATATTGGTGCATCTAATTGGTGTTCATTGTTAAGTAAGAACTTATTAGTAAAGTTTCAACAGAAACTAATGTTTATATGTTCATTTTAGAATTTTGTCTACTGTGGTTTAGCTTGAAATCTTATTTAAATACAATGTACTTATCAGGACCAAAGAGCTAAAAAAAACATCAAAGTATTTCATGTTGGCTTTGTTTGTTGTATGATTACGATTTAATCTTGAATGTGAAAAAATTATAAATGTTAGCCTGTTTCTTTTACGTAATAGTTTATATAAACATTCATAATTTCCAAAAAGACATATTTTCAAATGAATGATTTGGGCTTAATTCAATGTTGACCAAATGAATTCAATGTTGACCAAATGAATGTAATTGTCATTTTTACTGGTTTGTTTTCTACTCCACGTATTTTAGCCTCCTTTATAAAAGAGATTTTGTATGTGTTATTCTGAAGTACAGCATCCACTTCATATGTTTACTCTGAAACTAAGTTGATTCATTTTTTTTTATCTTTCTCTGGAATGATTTCAAGAAAAAATAATAAAGAAAGGTACAAGTTTACAGCACGTGACAAAATTATCAGGGATATTCCATGCAACAACCAATTCATTCTAAATGCACCTTTCACATGAATACATGCACATAGTATGCATTTAAATGTAACTGAGGATTTTGTCTTTATTGTCATCCTTTTTTGTTAGAAATCAATGAAAATGCCTTAATAAATGTACAAAGCCTTGAAAAATACATTCCTGGCATGATCTACATCCCTTCCATAATTGGGACATTAACTGTGATTAACCTGTATAAATGAATTTGTCACCTTTGTTTCATGTGCTGTTGTGAATTTTTTCTTTTATTTTATTTGGCATGTCACCTTGTATTTCCATTCTTTAATTGGAGTTTCTTATTTCTTAACATAATTGATATACACTGTATTCTAACATAGATATTTGGTGTTTTGTAAAAAAATATTTTACTTTCTACTGTATCATGTGAATTAACCCAGTATTACTAATGGCATTATTATTTATTGGTCTTTCAAAATGCTGTAGCAATGGGCTGTTAATTAGTTAATGAATTTGTTAAATTATTGTCCACATGTAAAGTCCCTAGCTTTAGTGTGTGAAATCACTATCAGGCTGATTAACCACAAGAAAGGTAGCAAAATGATTAATGCTGCTTTTGGCAAATTTCAAATTCACCAAAACCATTATTTACTGCATCTGATAAAAATGAATTTAGTCATGAATTTTTTTTTATCTCTGAGAAAGTTTTTTAAATGGTGATCTACTTCAGAATTAATATTGTAAAGGTTATTCTTACTGTATCATATAACAGGGTTTTATTGTATATTGAACATGTGTACCGGTAATTGATTTTTTCCCAATTATTTTGATTTTAAAATGCATTAATTGTGTATTGGTAGATTGATAATATGAATTGGAGTTTATTTTATTAGCTTTACTACAGTAGACCTTAATTAATTTAGTCTTTGTTGTTAATATAAAAGTTATTTTAAAAAAAATGCCTGCTCATCTTTATTCTTCATTGCTAGTTTTTCTTACTGTTAACCAAAGTGACTATACAGTTCTACTTTTCAGTTATTTATAAGGAATGCTCTGATTTGAAATTGATTGCACAATCTGAAATATATTAACTTAATTTCAGGACTTGATTAAAACTAATATGATGTACTTTTGGCACTTTTACACAGCTAGTTGGAAATATACGGGTGCCAAAAAACGACGATTTCCTAACATCCAGACATGTCTTAAACTTATTGGAACCTGACACTCTTAATGAAGTATTTGGTCAATTGCTTATGTATCACAACTGGTTACAGTACTTCGGCGGTATTGATAGTACATGTCATTTCATATTAGCAATAATGCCCGCCTTGTCAACTGTTCACCTCATGCATAAATCAATATCTTTGAGCTTCATTTGGTTTTAGTTTGGATTTAATGATTAGATCACCTATATTCTTATGTTTACTGTATGCAACTACATGTATAGGAGGTGTTGTGATCAAGACTTTGCATACTTCGTCATGTTGTATGTAATCCCAATATTTCATTAGTTGTTTCCTTAACCTCTTTATATTTGGGTTGAGCTTGGGGACAAAAACGTTGGATACAGCTTTATTATCCTTTTTCTTCTTTAGATTTTTTGAGAAGATCCATTCTATTTGCAGAAAGTGTTTCTTGCGTAATCAATTTCTTGATTCTGATTGGTCGGCGGAATACAGTTTAAATCATATGACCAGTCAGATAAAGCGTAACACATCCAAACTCTTACAAGGCTGTAAATAGAGAAAATTTTATGTGTCCGTCTAATAAATCGTCTGATTACAGCATGTGAAACACTAAAGATGGGGTTTAGGTTAAAGGGGTGCGTAGACAGAGTGGTTAGTACCTTGGAAATCAGCCTCGAAGCGCCCCCCCCCCCCCATTGTGCATAATTTTTAGCTCTACTGGTCGGAGATCAGAAGAGCTGATGCGATAGTAAGGTGACCGGTGTCCGACCATCTGCCTGTAAAAGATTTTTCAAAACGCTTCTCCTCCTACAGTTTTGGTCTGATTTCAATATAACTTGGCACAGTAGTAGACTACACTAAGATATATAATTTAGTGCATCGGTTTTCGATTTCGGTGAACGGGGTGTTGCCATGGTTACTAAAAATAGAAATTTCTGTAAAAATCCTTCAAAACGCTACTCCTCCTACAGCTTTGGTCTGATTTCAATATAACTTGGCACACAAGTAGACTACACTAAGATACACAATTTAATGCATCGGTTTTTGATTTCGATGAACGGTGTTGCCATGGTTACTAAAAATAGAAATTTCTGTAAAATTCCTTTAAAACGCTACTCCTCCTACAGATTTGGTCTGATTTCAATATAACTTGGCACAAAAGTAGACTGCACTAAGATACGTAATTTATTGTATCGGTTTCTGATTTCGATGAACGATGTTGCCGTGGTTACTAAAAATAGAAATTTCTGAAAAAATCATTCAAAACGCTACTCCTCCTACAGCTTTGGTCTGATTTCAATATAACTTGGCACACAAGTAGACTACACTAAGATACACAATTTAATGCATCGGTTTTTGATTTCGATGAACGGTGTTGCCATGGTTACTAAAAATAGAAATTTCTGTAAAATTCCTTTAAAACGCTACTCCTCCTACAGATTTGGTCTGATTTCAATATAACTTGGCACAAAAGTAGACTGCACTAAGATACGTAATTTATTATATCGGTTTCTGATTTCGATGAACGATGTTGCCGTGGTTACTAAAAATAGAAATTTCTGAAAAAATCCTTTAAAACATTACTCCTGCTACAGTTTTCGTCTGATTTCAATCTAATTGGCACACAATTAGACTACACTAGTGACTACGTTACATAAAAGTGTATATCGGTTTTTGATTTCAGTGAATGGTGTTGCTATGGTTACTTAAAATAGAAATTTCTGTGAAATACTTTCAAAATGCTACTCCTCCTACAGTTTTAGTTTGATTACAATATAACTTGGCACACAAGTAGACTACATTAAGATACATGATTCTATTTATTGCTGCATGTTGCAAAATTTCAAATCCAAGTGCTACTTTTCCCTTGTTATACGTACAGACCAGTAGAGTACAGTCTCATCAGAGACTTCTGGTTGTTTCTTACCTTGTATATTTTTATTTTGCCGTAAATGGCGAATTTTAAAACCTTATCAAAAGTACAAACCAATTGCACAGAATGACATACAGATAGAACTGACGGAGAAATCGCATATTTCCGAGAAAATAAAGACACCTTTTATTTTATTAGTTAGTTGGGGGGGGGGGGTGATCCATGCTTCAGGCGCCTGTTGCTAAATATGCTTTCTCGACAGAATGTAGTATATATAATTCATCAAATTCCATGTTTGTGTACATGCTGGTCACATTATAAGTAACCAGGATGACATTTTCTGGTACATTCAGAGATTCGATTTTTTGTCTTGACGTGTCTTTGATGTATGAATTTTGTTTCTGAACAATGGGCACAAGGATATTGAGCATATTGGAGATTTATGTTAGTCAACACTGCTCGTTGGGTTTTTCTAAATATATATATTCTTCGTTTGACCAACAAATACTTGTGCTTTGTCTGAAATATCACAGATTTCCACTGTCCCTTTAACGTCCAATTTTTCATTCTTGACACGTACGATATTGTCAAAATTTTTAACAACATATGGTGTCTATTTAGCCTTTAGGAAAGAGTTCTAATAGATGTAATTAGAATATAAATCTTCCGACAACGTGCACGTGCATTATATGTAATAACTCTTCATATGGCACCTGTGCTAAAAAAGTGCCACGCGACTTTTTATACAAACGTTGAACGTGATCGATGCCAACAAATTTCCAATTGAATTTGATAAAAAAAAAAAAAAATAATAATAATTGGACGAAAATAAAAAAAAAAACATAAAACAACGGGGCGGGGCATTTTGAGAGGGGCGGGCGGGGCCATAGGGAGTTATGCTATAAAATTTTATTGCAAAAGCCCAAAAGCCTCTTGAGATATCGCTCGAAAATGAAAGTGTTACAAACAGACAAAATGTATGAATTTAAGACCTTGACCTTTTGACCTTAAAATCAATAGGGGTCTTCTTTAGGCCTCGGGGGTTGTGGTAAAAAAAATTCATTGCAAAAGCCCAAAGGCTTCTAGAGATATCACCCGGAAACGGAAGTGTGAGACCGAATTTATGACCTTTGACCTTTTGATCTCAAAGTCAATATGGGTCTTTTTTTTTTTAGGCCATAGGGAGTTCTTATGTAAAATTTCATTGCAAAAGCTGAAAGGCTTCACGAGATATCGCGCGAAAACGGAAGTGTTACAGACGGAAAGACAGATCCAATCAGTGAAAGCGGGGGACAAAAAGCTATATATCATTTTTGAATGAGTTTTTCTATTATATTACAAATGTAATAAGTTTCACTATAAACCCTAAAGAATGCTGAATCACACCGGAAACAGTTATGTCACACGCCGGAAACGGTTATATCACCCGACAGAAACAGTTATAACACCCTCTCGATCACTTTCACGTGTCTTTATGTTACGCATTTGTAGCTCGGGTTCGAGAAGTGATCGGGAGGGTGTTATAACTGTTTCCGTCGGGTGATATAACTGTTTCCGGTGTGTGACATAACTGTTTCCGGTGTGATTCAGCATTCTTCAGGGTTCATAGTGAAACTTATTACATTTGTGATGTAATATAGGAACACTTCTTCAAAAATGTTATATAAGCAATTGACTAAATGCTTCATTGAGAGTGCCGGGTTCTAATAAGTTTGATGTTAGAATGGTGTCTTCTTTTTTTTTTTTTTTTTTTTTTTTGTTTTGTTTTTTTTTTTGCACATGTATTAGTTGTGATATATAAGCAACTGACCAAATGCTTCATTAAAAGTATCGGGTTTTAATAAGTTTTAGATATCTTTGGATGTTAGGATGCCGTCGTTTATTTGCACCAGCTCACCTGAGCTGAAAGTTCAAGTGATCTTTTCTGATAACGTTTTGCCTGTCATCCGTCTGTAAATTTTTCCACAGTTTCAACCTCTTCTCAAGAAAATGTGGGCCAATTTCGACTTAACTTGCCACAAAGCATTTCTTGATGAAGGGGATTCAAATTAATTCAAATGAAGGGTTACGTCCTCTTTCATTGGGAAATAATTAAGAATAAGTTAATATTTAAAGTCATTTTCAAAAATTTTCCGAAGAACCATTGGGCCAGAAAAGTTGAAACTTATGCAAAAGCTTCATTATATAGTGTATATTTAAATTTGTTCAAAACATGACCCCGGGGATAGAGTGGCACAATCCTCACCTGAGTCACTATAGTCCTGCTACTTCTTTAGATTTCCCCCAATATATTCCTATGTTAAACTTTGATCACCTGTTTTGGCCTCCTCCTACACCGGGGGTCATGACTTGAACAAACGTGAATCTACACTACCTGAGGATGCTTCCATATAAATGACTAATCATGGCTGTTTTTCTTGAGAAAAAGATTTTTCTTATATATACCTATGTAAATCTTTGATTGCCCTTTGTGGCTCCACCCTACCCCATGATTTGAACATATTTTAAATTTACACTACCTGAGGATGCTTCAATATAAATATGATTGAACATGGTTGTGCTGTTCTTGAGAAGATTTGTTAAAGATTTTCCCCATGTATTCCTTTGTAAAACTTTGATCAGCCATTGTGGCCCCACCGTGCCCACGAGGGTCATGATTTGAACAAACTTTGATCGACATTATGTAATGAAGGTTTCCCGTAAGTTTTCAACATTTCTGGCCCAGTGGTTCTTGAGAAAATTTTTTCCTATATTCCTATGTAAAACTTGTATCGCCAAATTGGCCTTGTCAAAGGCGTAGGGTCAAACTTGAAGCAGTTCTTTTACATGTACCATCGATCAGTTAAAAATTTTAAGTTCATCCTTTCTGCGTTGTATTCTATGGCGGTGCAGGAAGCATCCATATTTGAATCACGGCAGTGTGAACTATCGCTGTTTAACAGCTCACATATTTTATCTATACATAATTGTCACTGATTTTTCTTTGGGTTAACCACAAATTGTTCTGTGAAAGAAATCATTCTTTTATATAAAGGAAAAAAACATCCTTTTTTATGTTTGGTAAA